GCGATTAAGAAGGAAATAATCGGCGGCGCCTCTAAACTGGGAGGAATTTAATTCGTGAAAAATACCGGGCAAATCAGATTTCATGACATGAAGGTACTTCTACATCCTCTACGAATAACGAATGCAACCTCGTTAAGTGAGTAGGTCATGATTGCCCCCCAATCAAACTGTGGTCTTCGCCTTGAATAGATATCCTTGGAATCCTGCGTCAGATAACGCGATCAAGAAGGAAATAATCGGCGGCGCCTCTAAACTGGGAGGAATTTAATTCGGGAAAAATACCGAGCAAATCAGATTTCATGATATGAAGGTACTTTTACATTCTCTACGAGTAACAAATGTATCCTTGTTAAATTATGTATAAGACATGTTATGAATAAAGCATAGATTAGTTAACAACCGTGGCTCCTATTATCTTTCATTTTTATTGGAATACGTATTTCGTCGACTCGAGGCAATATCTGAACACGGTGCAACGATGCTGACGTAACTATATGTATATTATTTATATGCAGGGATTCTTGATCACTTAGATGTGTTTAGTTTGATAACAACGAAGTAAATGCAACTCTTCGGGTCTCCAGGAGTTCGAGTACAATGCTGCGGTACCATCGGCGTATTCTCGCAATTTTTGCAGAATTTGGAAGGCCCCTCGGTTGCCCGTCGAGGACACTCGCACCTGCTTGCAGGAATTAACCTAATTTTAATTAATTTCACTACTAATAAAGATAATTGATCTTATTTCGCTCTTCAAAAAAAAAAAATCATGTAAACCTGAAGTCGAACCTGCGGCCTCCCCAAAGTCACAGCTGCCACGAAAGTGACCTCACCCCGACCGATCTGTTCTCCAAGATCATTTCTGGAGAACCTCTCCGTATATGACATCCTTTTCCTGTATTTACTGTACTCGTCGAATGCCCCGAAGAACGCCTTGTTTTTCAGCTGGCCGAAGCAGAAAACCTCCGCCATCTTGCAGAGGTCCTTCTTAGTTCTGTGCACACCATTTTCCAGCCCAACCGTGGGATTTTCCTGCACGCGACTGGTCTCTTCAGGGTCGGCGATGGACCATGAGTTAGGGAACGAAGACACCCCTTCGACGAGTCTACCTCCTCTCGTCATCGTTGGCACGTTCCTGGGCGAGGACCTCATCAAGGTCGCCATTGCGTAGTCTTCTGTGGGGATTGCATTTCTCGATTGGTCCTGGCGAACGTCCTCGGTATGGTCCCGACCATTTTCCCTGGGTCGACCTTGGTAACCGCGGGAACCCTGATTTCGGTGATTGTACCTTCGAGCCAGTCTCCTGGTGTCCTGGACCTTCATCCTGGTAACGGACCGACACTTTATCCTGTCTCCAGATCCGCGACTGGGCTTCAAAGGACACTCGTGCCTTCCTATTTTCTGGACTACGTCCGCATACGTTTTGTGGCCTTCAGATGGGATTGGCTGCCTCCCCGAAGTCGGCACCGCAACGTCTAGAAATATCCCCTAATATCAATGACTCTTATCAATTAATGCCGAGAATTTCACTAAAAAACCAAAATTTATAATTAAATCATTCTCAAACTCGCTACCCCAGGTTAGAACTGCATTATCGTTGCTCCTCGCAGGAGCCCTCGTCAAGGTCCCAGCACTTCTTCGAGGTTGTCCGGATATTGCTACCGGAAGTGCCGCCAATTGTCGTCTTGACAATTCAGGCCATCTCCTGGGATCATCCTCGGAGATCGACTCCACCTTATTGACATGATAGGAGAACTCTTCCTGGCCGATGAAGAACGGCGCCACGAAGGACGCGACTCCCGCCGTGCCTGGCCTGACGTCTCTCAACATGTCAGGAACGGCCTCGAAGGCGTTGACAAATGGTAGCACCGGTTCCACGAACGATGGAACCCTTTGGATCAACGGCTCGAAGATGCTCGACGTCGAAGTTGCGTAAACGCCCTCTATATTCGCTGTCAACGCGAAACACGCCGTCAATGACACCTCTCCAGAGTTTACCAGATGGCCGCTGCCAAGGATCTGATAACCATGCTGCGGCTGCTGCAACTCCCAAAAAAAATCTCCAATAATGTCACGCCGTGGTGATAAATTGGACATTTAAGCATCAACTTCATTTTAATTGACAGAAATAATTGGCAGCGCGTCACCTGCTGCCGCGTCAAGTACTACACCCTGTGCTCCAGTTTCGGTGCAGAATGATATTAATATTGTCAAAATGATTTTAATTGGCAGAAATAATTGGCAGCGCTTCACCCGCTGCAGCGTCAAGTGCTACACCCTGTGCTCCAGTTTCGGTGCAGAATGATATTAATATTGTCAAAATGATTTTAAATGGGCAGAAATAATTGGCAGCACTTCACCTGCTGCAGCGTCAAGTAGTACGCCCTGTGCTCCAGTTTCGGTGCAATATGATATTAATATTGTCAAGATCATTTTAATTGACGGAAATAATTGGCAGCACTTCACCTGCTGCAGCGTCAAGTAGTGCGCCCTGTGCACTTGCGCCTCGTCGAAGCACCTCAGAGTGGTTTTTTGGCAGAACGGGGTGGACAGGTACTGGGCAACCTCCTGCTTTTGGCAGGAGGGGTTTCTCTCGGGGTTGGCAGCGCCGTTGGCAGCCAGTACCATGTAATGGTGAGGATAGGGCCGCTGGGTTGAGCCTTGCACCTGAAGAGCGAACTGCGTCGAGGGTTGCTTCTGCACCTGGAGGGTACGTCGGACCTTTAAACCAGATTCGTCAATGGCCAGTTTACGAGCACCCAATAAATACGCTTTGTCTCCAGTTTGTCTCTGGCCTAATGCTATACAACGCTCCAGATTGTCATCTAGCGCCGGAGGCCTGACACCCGCATCGGGGTGCCATGTCGTTTCCTGTCAACTGACGACTTTACGACCTCCTCTCGCCGAAATGCCCCAAAGACCTGGCGCTACCTTGGCGAGCTTGTTACGGATACCTGCCGTCGACACCGGAAACTTGGAGCAGCCCAATTTGTCAATTAACATTTTTAACAATCTTATAAAAAATCTGAAAAATCGCGAAGCTCGAATTGGAGAACAATTTCTTGTGGCGAACTTGTTACGGATACATGCCGTCGACACCGAAAACTTGGAGTAGCCCAATTTGTCAATTAACATTTTTAACAATCTTATAAAAAATCTGAAAAATCGTGAAATAAATGAAAAATCGCATTAAAGAAAAATGTCTAAATTAATCCTCTGTAGTCTAATTTTTCAATCTTGTTTTACTTCAAGACGTGCAATTAAAAAAAATTATTAAACCTAGAAACTCGATGGTCTTGCCAACAGATTTACGAGCACCTATCCTTATCCTGTTCCTATCATGTAGTATGTATCTATTAGGGGGACCGGAAAGAAATCCATTAATTTTATACTTGAAGTTTGGGGCAAAAATAATGGATTTCTCTCCGGTTGCCCCAATATGATCAATTATCGCAACCTGGACGTATCTGACGTGAGGTTGCTGCTGGGCCAGCTGATTCCGGGAGCCGCTGGGAGCAAAACAGGTCAATCTTTGCCAATGTGCAGCAGTCGCTATCCCGTACAGGTTGGCCGACCCTTGAGGATGTCGCTGAAGAGCCTGAAAACCGCGGCTGGAACCCGTCGACCCGGTCAAATTCACCTGAAAAATGAAAAATTAAGTCAGAAGAAATATAATGTACACGTCTCTCGACCGCCTTACATCTGATGATTTCACGAGGGGCCTTAAAAATCCGGCGATAAGAGTTTAAATTTCGGAAATTCAAGAAACAAGGTTCGTATCTGAATTACATCTTATCATTTCACAAGGGATTTCAAAAATTCGGCGATAATGAAAATGTTGAAAATTTAAGAAGTATAATTCGTACCCGTCTTATATCTTATCATCTCACAAGGAGCCTAAAAAATTCGACGATAAGAGTTAAAATGTTGAAAATTCAAGAACACATGGTCCGTACCTGCCTTACGTTTTACCATTTAACAATGGACCTCAAAAACGCAGCGACAAGAGTTACAATTTTCGTAATTCAGAGCTAAATGTCCGTACCTGCGCCTAACGGGTTGCGAGGATGCGGGGCACGCGTAATGCGACTTGGGGCCCGGCACATCCTCAATAAACTAATTACGAGAAACCCCAAAGGCGGGAAATTTCTCGGGGAAACGGACTCCCGGGATTCCCAGTCTACCTGTGGGGATCGTTCTTATAATCCCCGTTACGCCCGATGCCGGGGCTCCTCGAGGACTTCCGTTCTCCAAGGGGTCTGAGCCCTTGTCACTTGATCGCCCACACCACGTGGCACGCCTGTCGGCCTTGGCCTTGAACTTGAGGCACTCGTCCCGGACCTTCCCCTTGCACCTGACACCCCAAATCGCTATTCGACCCATCACGCGAGGTTGACCATTGATTAGAAAGATAGTCACAGATAATCTTAACAACCTTTCCACATAAAAAACTTCTCTACTTCCAGGATATTAAAAATATTCTAAGTCCACTTCGTTTTGAAAATGTATCCTTAGGGAGGATATTTATTATATGTATCCTTCTTAAAGGTGCACGGAGTAGTGACACGTGTCATCGCAGGGAAAAATGGGGAAACAGCTGATCGCATGAAAATCCTTCTTCCGGGTTTGTTGGGAAGGAACGGGTGTTCATTTTTTAGAGGGACGAAGATGCAAGGTCATCGAATTCGACGCGAGATGTCCTGGACGACGTCCTGCGGTACTCACCCAGGTCTTATTGTCCATGAGTCATGAAAAGAAACCGCGATTACCGAGTACGCTCCCCATGAGACATGGGAATAAAGGTTCACGTGGGCGATTTGACACCTTACTGGCAAATGTTTCCAGTGGGAGTGAATCGCATAGGTCCGACATTGATAGTCATCTGGACAAGGGGAGTACCGTTGCATGACTCCCATAAAAGTGATCCTTATTAAGGAACATTAGCGAAGCAATTATTTTTTTCAATATCGCATTTGTACCGTCTAATCGTATAAAAACGTTACTTTTTACTCTTATCTTTGATAAGTTTATTTTATACATAAAAACGCCGTTTTATCCTCCCCCCTATTTACACATCAATCTTCCGGGTAAAATACCGGAAAATTAATTAACACGCCACGCGACCAGGCGTGTCGTGTCGTGCATTCGGCAATGATCGATGACGTTCGCATGGCTAAGAAATTGTAGCTACTGAGCGGGCGTGAAAGATAAATTCATGGGTGATAATTGGCTTCCTGGAGTGACGTCGGCGCGGGTGTTCCGCTCCAGAACGGGGTCCGTCTCATTTATGTCCTCGACCTGCGAAACCACGAATTGGATTAGATATATTTTAGAAACTTGTAAAACAACCCTGCGACCTCCTTCTCTTACCACCATGGGGTTGTCCTCGATCTTGACCCTCTTCTGAGCTATGGTTCTAAGAAACGCTTTTGCTTCCTCCTTCGTCTCGTCGAATTGCAGACACTTCTGAGCATAATGATTAGCCTGGTCCAGTTGATCTCGTTTCAAATGATACTGCGTCAAGTACTTGTAAGCGTGACTGAGTTCCGTTCTGTCTGCGTTCCTGAATTCATCCATCACGAAGTCGGTGTACGCGGCTGCGGCGTGATCATGCTCGCCTAATTTTTCGTACAGCCTAGAAATGCGGAAGAATAATTTCTACGGCATTTATATGATAACCATATGATTCAAGAAGGATAATAAAATAAATTCAGGAGCGTGGAGCATAAATTTTTGGCCAACGTACGTGGCTAACTTGATTAACGCCATTCCCTCGATGTCGCCAACGTTGCAGGCTTTGTAGTAACATTTCAAGGCGTCTTGTATTTTATCCTGCCTCTCGTAAGCTTCTCCTAAAGCCAACACCATTCTGCTGTCGTGCGGTCTAAGTAGTTGTGCCTGTTTGTAATAGTAGAGGCCGTAAAAGGGCATCTTTAGGATCTCGTAAGTTTGCCCTAATCCGTACCACGCTCTATAATCCCTCCTATTGACTTCTGCAAGAATAGAAGGTAAACGCAGGTTATTCTCGATTTATTACCTTCACTTAAACCGACGTCGGAAACACACCAATGGCCTGCCTGTAACTGTGAATAGCAGCATTTGTGTTCTTCATCTCCATGAACTCGTGCCCCAGCAGTGTCCACGCAGAGAGGTATTGAGGATTCAGTTTTAACGCTCTGTGAAAATACATCACAGCCTTTTGATGATCCGCCCTTAAACTATAGTAATTTCCTGAAATTAGTATTTTGTTACGAATTTGTTGTCCTTCAATAATTGGCTATAACTGGGATTTAATTCCAAAGTAGCTTACCTACTATGCAACAAGTTTCGAGTCTGTATTTGTCGATCTCGGTTGCTCGATGGGCCAGATGAGCCAACTCAACTTTCAGTTCTTTCACGTACAGTAAATTCGAATACGTGTCCATGTTATCGAGGCAGTAAGGGTCTTCTTTGATGATCCGCTTAAATGTCTCGATTGCTGTATCAACATCTGTTCAATGAAATATATTTCTTTTACAAAATTATTTTCTGGTGAGAAGAATGAATATTATCTGTATCTGTAATTGATGTCGATTATTACCTCTCCTGTAATGGACAGCAATCGCTGTTTGTGCAAGAACATAGCCATTCTTTTCAAAACCCATAGATTGCAATTCGCAATAAAGTGCTAATCCCTCGTCGATTAGCTGCAATTCTAAGTACATGTGTGCGATAAAAAACTGCCTGATCCAGTGATTAGGTAGTGTCAAGCTCTCAAGCTTCTCTCGGTCGGTAATTAGCCCTGCTAGCTCTAACCAGGTTCCCCAATGCATTGGTTGCTTGTGCGTAGATTCTACTAAAACGTCTACAGCCTCCCTAGCGAGTTGCAACTTTTTTAAGACAACGCCAAAGAGGTAGAGACCAAAACCATCCAGGTTTCCACTTAAGTGATCTTTTCGTAGATCACTGCATAATAATTTAAGACTATCATTCTTCAGGGGATCTGGTGGTACATCGGTCATATCATCTATCTTCTTTTTCTCACCAGACAGGTATCGAGAGTACAAATACAAAAACCGTGCCTTGGGCGTCTTGCATTGTTCAGTAAAGTATGCAGCTCGATCATATTCTTTTAAATCAAAATAGCTTTTTGCCAATATATACATGTCCTCTTCCTCGTTCATTTCAATCATACTTATATCTGCAGTTATATCGCCTACCTTTACTTTGATATCCTTCAATGAATAATTTAACTCTGCAAGCCTAAAGAAGTAAAAGGGGATCGGAACATTATCATTTTCTATGAAAGACCTCGGAAGCATGGTCGAAGCAACCTTCAGCTTAACCTCTTTCATAGAGAAATTCTCTAACGGATTTACAATAAAGAACGACTTAAATAGTAATTATAATTAAAAATGGTTTTAATAAGTACCATTTCGTAGTGTGCATCAACCCACGTTCTGAGCATTCCCGTATCGCACGCAAAAGATCCAACTTAACCTCTTTTGTGTCAAACTTGATCACAGACTCCTCCATTTCATTAAATTCTCGATGACTTCTATAGCAATTCGATATTTTTTGGTAAGCCGTCATAAATGTGAGGTGTTAAAATAACGAAATAACATTTCAACAAATTTGACAAGGCGCGAAAATGTATATTTTCAGGAGGTGTTGCCGTCTACTGACAAAGTGGCGAACTATACGGATTTAATGAAGCAATTCTACGTCGGTAAAGTAATTCATTTTTCTCATTGACACGTAGTGTCTAATATTTTATTGTATTTCATAATTGAACCGTTCTTATTAGACTTGTGAGTCCCAAAAGTATTTTAATCCATTACTCAAATTTCTATCAAATGTTTCTATGTATTGAAAGGAACGGATAAAGTGCCTTTGCAACAATGTCAACGTTTCATTTGTTTTCATGGGTGAGTAAAATCATTCTTAAGGTGGAACCGTGGAACACGCACGTATAATTAGAGGCTAGAAATTAACATTGGGTGCATTCAGAGGAGACAACTGTTGAGTGATCGGTTAGCGCTCATCTGCTGAATGAGTACGTTTACTCAACATGTTTACTGATCAGACCATTCTGATCGCCATTTTCAGCAGAAAATCGCAACATGTTCCCAACTCATCGGTAACCGCTTATCTCCTCCGAATGCACCCATCCATTAACAGTAAGTAACAGTAAGTAACAGTTCGAGTAAAACAATGCGTCGTAATTATAAAATCGGCGCCACCGTCAACTGCCATATGGTATTACCATCACGAGTACGTGGCCGCCAATGGCGACTGGTAGATGGTACCGCCATCGCGAGTGCGCGAGCTCCTATCAGAAATTGGTTGCGCCGCCCTTGGAGGCAAAAAACGGTTAAAGCTAACGTACGAAACCAGAGGGCAGCACAGGAATCGATCGCGCGACCCTGCCCGTGAGCAATCTCCCAACTCATCTCTGGTGAATTCTGCAGAAAAACATGGGGCCATTATTAAATAGTACACTACACGTTGTATAGATGGCGCCACATGGAGGTAGAATCTGTCTCTCTTGTACTAAAATCACCGTTTAAATAGAATCCTACAATAGAATTTCTTTAATATTGAATTAGAAATTTAAAATGTGTATAAATTAATTAACTCCATTGTTTCAGGGTGCTAATTCTCACGGTCAGTTGGGTCAAAATATCGAAGACGAGCAACTTGTACTTCCCACAGAAGTTGATCTGTCCCAAGCCGAGCTCAGAGCAGAAAATATTGTAAAGATCGTAGGAGGAGCAGGACTCACACTGATTTTGGATAAGTTAGGAGACGTGTATTCTTGCGGATGGAATACCAAAGGACAAACAGGAATTCCTGTTGCAGGAAGCATTCTGAAATTTAAAGAAATAGAATACCTGAGAAATGAGTATATCATTGACGTTGCTTGCGGATGGGATAGCTCGATGGCTCTGACGAGAGATGGGTATGCCTTTGTCTGGGGTTCAAATCGATTTGGCCAACTTGGGAACGACCTCTGTGAAAAACAAGATACTGTTAAACCAATTAAAATCACCAGCAACAAGAAAATAGTTCGCTGCTCAATGGGCTTAAGACACTCCGCATATGTCACCGAAGACGGTCTAATTTTTGTTACTGGTTCCAATAGCAAAGGCCAATTAGGTGTGATTTCTCCGAAAGGCAAACAAATTTCAATGTTAACTACATTTACCAGAGGTAATTTTAGACGACACTTTGTGCAAGTATATAAAACCGGTACTAATGAATTAACCACAGATTTTACAGAACTTTCAATTAAATAGTTCCAGGCTTAACCGATGTGGTAGATGTTGCATGTGGTCAACATCATACAGTAGTGGCAACTAGAGAAGGCATTTATTCATGGGGTAGCAATAAGTACGGACAACTAGGGCATGACTCCGTTGAGAATACTATTCCATTTCCGAAAAGAATACAGAATATTCAACCTGAATACACGAAAGTTTATGCAGGCTGGACACATACAGTTACTTTAAATAGAAACGGAGATGTACTCAATTGGGGTAGGAATATTTATGGTCAACTAGGAGGTCAAAGGTCCGACCAAGATCATTGGAAACCAAAAAGTATTCAGAATCTACCAAAAATCAAGGAACTAGGAATTGGCTCAGAACATAACATCGCACTTACTGGTAATTATCTATCGTACTATTACGCCTGTTGTACATGCAATTTGTTACATTTTAAAACCACAATGAATGGAAATTTTAATTCCAGAGGACAGATCAATTATATGTTGGGGATGGAACGAGCACGGGAATTGTGGCAATGGTTCTACGGAGAATATTTTAATTCCAGAAAACGTCTCTACTTTGCGAGATTTTAATGGAGTTGTCATAGGAGCTGGTGCTGGCCATTCCTTCGCAGTGATCCAAAAGTGTCCTCCTCGATAACAATTCTTAGATATCAAATTTCAGAAGTTAACAACGTTTTGAAACATTTGCGCAGTATTTCATTTCTGTTAATATAAACAAATCCATGTGTTACGAGTTTAATCTACCTTCTGTTTAATATTCTAAAATAATTTCGGTTTAACATACTCATAGAACATATCAGTAACAGAGAATCTGAGGTAATCCATAAATTAAGTGTTGCTAGAAATAGCTTGAAGGAAGTATAGAATGTAAGGTATAGTTCCACCTGGCCAGCTACCACCTGTCAGCAGGCAACTGTCATTCTCTACTATGACAACAGCCGAGGAAAACGTTTGACGTTATTTGAGGTGTTTGAAATATTTTATTCCAAGTACAACCATTACTGCTAAAGATGCTCAGGGTACGCTCTCAGAATAACGTCTGGTAAGTGTGTGACCAAAGTAATCCCATACAAAGCGAAAGATTCGTATAATATTTATACAATGTGTGTTTGATTTAGCGAGCAAGAAGCTAAATTTGTTCAGGACAGGATTGTCCGCGTGGAGAAACATTTCGCGGAGCTTTGCACTATATTCGCGGCGTTCGCCAGAAAATCTGCCAGGTTGGTGCACGAGGCGATCAATGAAACTATTGATTAAGCAACCATATCCTAACATTTCCAAACGACGCCCTATTTCTACGGAATAGCGCCATTACTTCATCAAAATATGTAACACGTTATTATTTTCAGACTACGCGATAAGACCGATGAAGTGGCGAAAGTAATCCAAACCTATGCGGAGTCGGAGAACATTAACCAGTCCTTGAGCAGCAGTCTTGGAAATTTTGCCAAGACACTTTCAATCATCGGAGATTACAAGTAATTTCTGTTTCGTTACAAATTTCTTGGGATTTCTGAAATCCCTGAGTTATTTTTTAATCATCTTGTCGACTGGGGTAAATAGTTACAATATGAATGTATTTTCTTTTTTAATAGGGACGCAGAAGTCCAGAGGCTCGAAGCTAAAGTTGTTACTCCATTTTCTCAGTACGCCACAATTTGTAAACATGCTCGAGAAGATGTTCGAAACACCTTTACAGCCCGGGATAAGGAACTCACCAAAAGAAGACATTTTGATAGGGTGCGAGAAAGGAACCCTCGAAATCGACAAATGATTGTAGGTTTCTTAGCGGTTATTATAGTCAGGATAATTGTAATATATTTGTTTCTGTTGTAATTAATTTAGTCGCAAGCGGAGTCAGAACTTATGAAAGCTACTGTTGAGGTATCAAGAGTGGTAAAGGGTCTAGAGGAACAAATAGATTCCTTTGAGAGGAGGAAGCTGCATGATATGAAATCTGTACTTCTGGAATTCGTTATCATCGAGATGAGTTTCCATGCCAAAGCTGTGGAATTGTTAACGAAAGCGTACCGAGATATTGCCGAAATAGACGAAACAAAGGATCTGGAGGTAAAGCAAATTAAATGGTACCAAAGAATGGATTTTTCTAGATACGAGTTTCACAAATTTATTTAATTTCGAGAGTACGTAGAACCTCATGCATAGAACGTAATTTTTTCTTCGACACACAGGACTTTCAAATAACGAGAGGAGATCTAAATGGGGTAATTTAACTGGACATTATTGCCTTAGTAGGTACCAGAGATGAATACAATTATTATTCAGTTTAGTAAATGATATGGAATTTGATGAACATTTTTCTATTTAGCAGAATAGTTTTCCCACAAAAATTGTTCATCTCTGGTAGGGAATGGAAGGAAAACGTAATGAAATCAGGAATAATTGGAACAATAATTGTTTCAATTGTAGGAATTCAGAGAGGTAATGCAGGGGAGTGACACTGCATCTAGATTGGACACAGTGAGACGAACTTCGTTTAGGCAGGCGTATTCTCTTACAAATTTGGCTAGTCGCTTTGCCCCATCTCCTAAGAATACAAAGAAATCTTCAAACCGATCAGCAGGCTCATTGGTGAGTTTCTTGAACAGTTATCTTATTTATTTATTTCACTATTAATAATTTGATTTTTTAGGATTCTTTGAAAAATGGCCATACAAATTCTTCGGAATCGGTGCAAGTGGAAGAATACGGTAACAACTCTGGAGAGTCTGAATCGGAATCTGTCGAGGAGAAAACAGTGAGACTTCGCTACAAAACAATGTAACTTCTTTGAATTCACACAACCCTCGTGCCTTTGCAATTATATATTTTAGATGAGGCGCTTTATAGAAAGAAAACAAGGAGCAACCAGTCGACTTAATTTAAGAGCTGTACCCGCTGTTCCTAAGTACCAGAAGTCCTTAATATCCTCAGTAATCCGCAGTATATCCTACACTTAACAAAGGATTAACCTATAAGCATTGTCAGAAATAACCCACGATTTATATGTAAAAAAGTGTATATTATCCATTCAGTGCAAAACTTAATACGCTTAACGAACGCGCACAGTCACTTTATAAATAAAGCATTTTCAGAGTGATGTAGTAATTGGCTCAATTAAAACCAGTGCCTTAACGTAAATCATTCAAATGATTCACATCGTTTGCAGCTATCCAGGCCACAAATTATTTATCTGTTCCTTCAACGCCTGCCTGCGTCATTAGGTCGCCAATGTTTTTCTCCAAATCATCTATCCGGTTGCCCATTTCATCTAGTATTTAATAATTAAGGATGGTCATTTCTAAAACTGTCGCACAATACATCCAAGTCAAATTTGATGTTATATTACGCCGAGCTTTGGAGATAATCTATAAACGGTTATTACGGCTCGCAAAAAGGATATTTCTTCCAATAATCTGGTCCGACATCGTCTGGAACTTGTCTTGCATATTTTGGAGCAGGGTCTGCACCTAAAACATCAGAAAAAAAGACCAAAACTTCCATCGTGCCTCCTAACCAAACATTACATGATAGCCAAGCCCGAGCATCCAAGGACGCAAATTATAAGGCAGGATCAAAGACTCACGTATTGCGTCAGGTCTTGCATGTTTTTCGGCTCCGTGTTATTGCCCATCGAATAATTCTCGCCGTCTTCTGTCTTCAAATCCTGCTTGATATCTGCCATTCTCCCGGAACGTCGCCCGACTGCTCGTAACTCGGCACCGTTTACAAGAATCGCGAGGTCGCTCAAGGAAGAATATCTGGGAATACTCCGGATATTAATGGCAATTTCCTGGCGCAGACGACAGTTCGGAGTCGAAGCCGTGTCAGGTGGGACGACGGTACCAGAGATTGATTTAACAAGGAAATTATTAAGACCAAAATCGGCCCCGTCCGTCTAACGCGACATTCGAAGCCGTTCGAACGATATGACATTAGATTTCCCTCTGGAGCATCGCTCTGCGCATGCGTTGTCCCATCATCGGCAAATTAACATTATTCAAATTATAGGAACGATCATTCACGACCACGATTCGAATGGCACTGGGGAAAAATTCCACCACGAGGGCACGAGCGCGGAAAAATTCTCGGAATTACTCGGAATGATGACTGCAAGTGATACACTCTGTCGGTAAGTATACTCGTGATTTAATGGATGACTAAAGGTTAAGTAATGTTAGAGATCTCGTTTATCGATCACGTGGATTGCGTTTAGTTTCGAGAATGTGACGCTAGATGGCGGTAGAGGCGCAGCGGTGAATTTGTACGCGTGAGTATTCTCGACAAGGAAGCGAAGTTTCGGAATCAAGGAATCCGAGAATTCGGTAGAGTTTCGAGCCAAATACGTTTATGTTACGACTTATAAGAGATGTTTTCTGGCAGTCACCCCATCTCAGTATTAATTGCGCCCAATGTTGTTTTACTTTGGCGATCGGACAAGTACTTACTGTTAAGGATTACGTAAAGTTGGTAAAGTCTAGTAGGGACTTCTGTTCTAACCCTAACTTAATTGTCCGTTGTAAGAAATTCATTAGGACCGTTTGTGGGTTAAATATTATAATCAAGATAAGGAAAGCTTAAACGCTCTCTATAAATTCCTTATAGTGAACGATTAAGTAAAAGTTAAGTTAGAATTAGAACAGAGACATAAACCGGGTTTCAAGAGTAAGGTACAGAATACGCGGAATGAAAGAAGAATCAGTGTTAATGGATTTATTCTTCGTAAAATTGTAATATACATTATATACAACTTAGTACTGATCGATTCGGAGACCGGACGCGATGAGTTTATTCTAGCAACAGGTGCGCTTTATTCTAACCTCAATTACTTCTTTCATTCTTAACATAAATACCTCTTGTTAACTTAGGGATCTAGATTTGGCTACATCAGTCGTTGGCATTTGACTTGAAAAGACCACCTTGAGGAAACTAACGCAACTGAAGAAGAACAAGTAGTAGGTAGACAAGCTGACCACTTACGTCAATATTTACATGAGAAGTGGGTCCGCTTGCAAGAAATCTCTTGGAACATAAATTACAGTATTTTAACGCTAATTACTTAAATCTAATAGCCCGATTTTAAGTTAAGCTACTACACAGTCTCAGAGTGAATCTTCCTGTAGCAGAGATACGCTAGTCTATAAGGATGAGCTTTACTCGATGATTCTTGCACCTCGAACGAAGGAGTACTAATATGATCCGTATACAGACATGTCCTTAACCAGTCCAAAGAACACATTTTGGTTTGTAAAGAAATTACTTAACTGCCATACAAAGGGCTAATTAGCATCCAGATCAATTTACTCGATGCCATATCATAAACGACCAGGAGAAAGATCTCTTCCAGTAGTCCCAAGAACATAATCTATCTTATCAAGAAATTATTCCCGGATCATATATATTCAAAGAAATAATTTCCTGATATGATACAATGTGTTCATAAGCCTGTTAAGGTAAGTATTCATCCGATGTACTCGTTTCTTTCCTTTGGTGCTCTTACACACTAAATGAACAAGACTAACGACTAATCATAGAATTTCTGTTCTCTTCACTGGAAGCCTAACGCCTAGTCGATTAAATCTAGAATTACTTTAAGGTCGACCTCGACCGCAGCTTATCGGCCTACTTTACATTATCAATTAACTAAGCTCGAAACAGAAATGGTAAAATTAGTCTCGAGGTATCTTAACGCGAAGCTAACGATTAAGAGATTATTTCCCCTTGAGGCTTAGCGCCTTCTTTCTCTCTTGACATAAGAAAATAGCGAGAAGTTCGACGAGAAGTGGTCCAGAAGGGCTCCTCCCTTAATCCCAAACTGCTCGGTTTTCTCGCTCGTTTTCTCCGCCAGTTGTGGTCTTTGCTCTTTTTACTATCACCCGGCTTTCTCAGTACCTTTCATTCCGTAACTTGCAGTTTAGAAACGTCACCGCTTCCCCATCTACGATGTGAACGTAACGAGAACAGGCTCGGACGAAAAGGGAAGGGACGCGTTGATCTGAAAGAGTAAGTACGATAAAAAAGTGAGAATACTTCCGTATTGCAATAAATATACAGTAGATTTTCATTTCTTCAGAAAACGCAGGAAAAAAAAGACTTCGTGCACATGCAGGTCGATTAGAAGAAAATTCAAGTGCCAGTTGCGAACTGGAGGGAGTTAAAGTTTGGCCGACTCGAAGTCCAGGGTCGACTCTTCAGAAGAAGTGTCCAGATATACCTCAGGGAACTTGGCAGAGTTTCGCCCCAAGTACTGATACATATATCCATATTATTTTCAAAACTTTTTGTAGAATCTAATTTATGAAAGAACTCGACCCTGTTAGCGGTTTAAGTGGTTACAGAGGCGATTAACTGCGAGGACGAGCAATCCAAGCCGTTGAGTTAGTATTGTTAGGTCACACACTCACATGCCTTCTCATCCTGGTCGTGATCTGCTTGGCAAGATGGTTGTTGGACGAAAAGGGCAGGTTTCAAAGGACGACCATCCTGGTCCTCTATCTGCACCACGAGTCCATGGTTCCCATTGCTGCTGTGACCATTTCTGGGATTCAGCCTCCAGAATCGCAGACCTTGTCTCACATCCAATGCCAAATGGCTTCCCGTTGGTGTAAGTGACGTCACGATGGAGTCCATCAGCCTCTTCTTTGCTGTAACGTGATTTCGGAGTTACAGGTAAAAGTAGAAGCCTGGAGAGGTACTACGAATTCCCTGGGACGTACATCGGTGCTTCTTCAGGGACTTCGTGTAGAAGTACACGGATATCCGGATCTTCTTCTCGTCATCCTCGTCCTCCTCGAAGGTACTCGTGCTCGTCGTCGTCGCGTTCTCCTGGGGCAACTTGAAGAGCCTCAGTTTAGCCGCCACGACATGTTCACCCGACGTCAGGTTCAATTGAAAGTGCATGTTCATCGAGAAAGGGTCCGCCCACGCCTCGGCGTCCGTGTTCCGAGGAGTCTGGCCTGTGAACAGATTAAACGTCGTGGAAATAATTATTTCACTTACCGATAAGTATCAACTAACACGTATATTATATCAGATCTCGCTTACAGGTGGGAGAAAACATGGTGAGCCGCTCTCGTTGCACCTGGTTGCTGTTGGCGCTGTGGTTGAACCGACCTGTCATGGCCAAAACTCTCATTTTGATGTCTTCGATCACCTTCTGGCCTTGGCTGCGAGAAAGAAAGAAGTGTCAACGCTACATGAACGCTACAACTTCTCGGATACTCGACTGAGCGTTGACTCCCGTCATAAAAAAACTCCGTGAATTAATTTCACTCGATTATTCCGCCCCCTTTGTGGGTAGACTCGAAGCTAGGGTCGTTTGTTAATATCGTCTGTCAAAATGTCGCGTTTTTCCGGGTCTCCCTTGTACGGATCTGTTATCTTTATCCGAGCATAGTTCGGTGTCTTGTTTGGATCGGCGCGGAGACTCTAAATGTATTCAGGAAGGATCGCATCCTCTTTGGTCATGGTCAGTGACCTAGAGCGGCAGACAAGTCGAAGGCATTTATTAAGATCTAGACACCGGCTAGACAGGGAGAAACCTCGGCGGCCAATCACGTAGTCATTCCGTTGGGACTTGAGGCCAGTCGCCAGTCTGGCCTCGAGCCGTACGTCTTCCTCGGACGCGTCACTCCTACGAACGACGTCTTATTTACATTAACTCCCAGGGGGCGCTTTTTAACGGAAATCTTTGCGTATTCCCTCCGAGGTCGCAACGGCGGCCGCTATCTTTTTTTTTTCGCGGGACTCAAAGGAGCGGAATAATTATCCTCGTTAACGAAGTCGCCGTAAATCGCTAGTTCTGTCGTTGACTGTACTAACGTAGCTGGACTTGGGTCCGATCGCGGAGATCTCGACGCCGGGATGAGCGATCGACAAATTTCGATATCAAAGAAACATCTGAGATTGGATCTGCTACCATGATTAAATCTTAAGGTGTTTCGTATTTATTTAATAATAACGCGAATAAAGGTGTTTAATGAAGTGGTAATGAGCATTATTGCGATTGATTCGGGGTCGATCGTAGAGATTTTAACGCCTGGATGAGCGACCGACAAATTTCGATATTAAAGAAACAACTTAGATTGGATCTGCGACTACGATTAAATTTTAAGGCGTTTCGAATTTATTTAATAATAACGCAAGTAAAGGTTTTTAATGAAGTGGTAATGAGCATTGTTGCGATTGATTCGGGGTAGATCGTAGAGATTTTAACGCCTGGATGAGCGATCGACAAATTTCGGTATCATGGAAACATCTGAGATTGAATCTGCGATAACGATTAAATCTTAAGGCGTTTCGAATTTATTTAATAATAACGAATGAAGGTGTCTAATAAATCGGTAATGTGCGTTATTGCGATTGATTCGGAGCCAATCGTAAAGATTTTAACCCTGGAATGAACGATCGACAAATTTCGATATCAAGGAAACGTCTAAGACAGATTCTGCGACCTCGATTAAATCTTAAGGCGATCCTAAGGTGTTTTATCGTTACCTAATAATGCAAATGAAGATGTTTAATGAAGCGGTAATGAGCATTATTGCAGGATCCGGGACCGATCGCGGAGATTTCGGCGCCGGGTCAGCCGAGTGTAAACAGAATAATTAGTATTAATAAACCCACGACATTGTCTGGGTCCCTGCGATTAAAGCGCAGTTTATCGGCGCGTACGCGCGCCTTTCCACTACACCAGCGATCGGAGTAAGCGAATTAGGCATGGATAAAAAGGTGAACGAAGAGTGGTTAAAGAAAAGACGAGGTTTCCTGGGCCCGCCAATAGGTCCTTAATGTCGCGTTCCAAAGTCCCCTGGGCATTTTCCGTTTTATTGCCCTCCGTAATGGGGGATCCCTCGTCTCCCGGTTGGATGGTCCGTCCCACGGGACGTGGGATAATTCGAGGCCTGTCCCAATTTCTGTGGGCGAGGGTCGGCGTCACAATTTCCGGGATATCGCCCGGCGAGATCTCGAATTTGATTCCAGACATGTGCGGTAATCTAGGCGCGTCCAAGCCAAGCATTCTACGTCGTCTCGTTGCCTACGTGCCTCGTCTACGCCTGTCTGGGAAACGGAGACACGAAGAAACGCGGATTTTCAAGCCTCCTCTTAAACCGCCATTTTGACTCCACTCGACGTTGTCGAATTTCGGGAAATTATTATTCTTTTTCCCCATCGTCTCTTTGCCTACGTGTCACATCTGCGTCTGTCTGAGAAATAGAGACAAGAAGAAACGCGGATTGTCAAGCCTCCTCTTAAACCGCCATTTTGACTTCCCTCAACGTTTTCAAGTTTCGGCAAATTATTATTTTATCCTCGTTATTCTTAATAATTTATTGGGTCATCTCCATGCTTTCGAGTTTCGGCAAAGGATTAATATCATTTTTATCATCATCTCGATGCTCCATTCGATGTTTACGAGTTTCAGCAAAGTATTAGTTTATTCCCGATTTTTTGTTAATAATGTATTGGGTCATTTCAATGCTCCATCCGATGATTTCGAGTTTCGGCAAATTAGTAATATTCTTTCCCGATTATTTACAAATCATTGAGTCATTTCGATGTTTGATATTTTACGAAAGATGTATGCAAACGTTTTGGGGAAAATAAAAAGAGGTGCGTGTCGCGCTATGATGCGGTCAGAATCACGAGGCCGAATAATGGAGTCGCCTCCTGTCGGATCGAGATTGACACACGCAGTCGCGCGTGTGTCCTCTGTCTCGGTTTTCCTCTCTGTCGCTCGACATAGGAAGAGAGGCGCAGACAAGGTAAGCGTATTAAATTAAAATGTGTTACATAACTACATAAGAGCAGCCTAACTGCAGCTCGACTAGACACTGGCCATTACAAGGGTGCTCAACCGACGCGTGGAGGACCACACGCGAGGGCCGGATTTTGATCTCGAAGAAATTCCGTATTTCTGACAGAAACAAGGCGTGAATTCGTAACCAAAATGACCGGTAGATATCGAACGGCAGGAATATCAAAGGTTCTTCGACTTCCCGAAGAGTGGGAGCGACTTGGCAGGGATTTCCTGACCCACCGGTCGCGCGGCCGCGTCGTAAAACGCGAGACGCCGTCCAAAGACGTCCGCTGGCGGCTACGCCACTGGACGGCACGAATGCATTTACGCGTCTAGACTTAATAAAGTAAAAGAAATTCCAGCTGGCTGTGGAGGAGGCGGAGGAGTGATTTAAAAACGTAGGTAGTCCCTAGCGGTGTTTCTACGTCGAGAGGAGCCTTCGCCCCGAAGAATCTCGTCTCCACCTCGAGGGAAAATGGCGTTCTTAGGACCCTGATGATCTCCACAGCCCCGTTGGATAGAGTGTCAGTCAATTTAGAATTAATGCGCGGGTTTAATCACCGAGGAAATATATTTGCGAATACGTTGTGCAAGATTTCGCGCCCAGGATGCGGAGGAGGTTGCTTGGCGCTCGTTGAAAGTCGTTCCTGAGATTTATTCGGAGCTCTCGGAGACGCCTCGGCGTCGCGGCGTCTCGCGGGAAAGCCGCCCCCGGCTTCGCGATCCGATAGGCCGTTTTTCACTTTGCTTTTTCTCTCGCGGGGATATTTTTACGTGCCCGAGGGCAATGTTTCCCGGGGGCGGGGGCGCACGGGGAGCGGAGATCCTAACCTCCAAACCAAGACGCGTGCAGCTGCGCGAATTGCTCCTTTTGCCGAGGCCGATTCCAGGGGCACGTGCGCGCCTCTAGTTCGTAAATGAGGTGCCGATTTAAGGTGGCGGTGAAAAGTACGACTTAAGGGGATTGGTACACCGAGAAGAATGTTTACACTGTATCAAAGAAAAGTATTTCTTTGAACAGTACCTCGGAAACATTTCGATAATCTAAAGAACAACTGTTTCACTAGAATAAACTCCAATAAACTGGATCCAAGATTTCTTTGTAATTGTGACAATTTGTTTGACTTCATTTGAGCCAAATTGTTATTCTTTGAATTACGAAAAACATTTCGACTTAAGGGGATTGTTACACCGAGAAGAGTTTACATTGGACCAAAGAAAAGTATCACTTTGAACAGTACCTCGAAAATATTTTGTTAATCTAAAGAACAACTATTTCAATAGAATAAACTCCAATAAACTGGATCCAAGATTTCTTTGGAATCGTAACAATTTATTTGACTTAATTTGAGCCAAATTGTTATTATTTGAATGAAGAAAAATATTCCTTTGGCTCGGTGGATATCTTTTTCTCAGTTTAAAAGAGATCGATAAGGTATAGGAAATATTTGTGCGCCTCTGGCGTGTAAATGAGGTGCCGATTTGAGGTGGCGGCGAAGAGGATGACTTAAGAGGTCGTGAAATGCGGTTTAATTAACGTAGGTTTAAAAGGGAACGCGGAAAAGGGTAGAGAATATTTGCGCACCACTAATGCGTAAACGAGGTGCCGATTTAAGGTGGCGGCGTAAAAGGCCACTTAAGGGGGTTGGTAGGCTATGAAATGCGATTCACTGAAAGTAGGTATCTTCTTTTTACGCCTCGAGGTGCTCATTTTCTAATATCCTTCAATTCCCTTTACCTCGTAACCGTGATGACGACGCATATCAAAACCTACTAACTCCCTTAAGGTGGGGATTTAATGTTTCCTCGAAATAGGTGAAAAGGTTGTGCCGCTAATTTTGGTCATCCCGGTCGCCTCTGTACAAAAAAACGAAATCATATAACCAGGTCGAGTTCGACCGACATTTGGAACAGGACCAAGTGCGAGTGGAACACTGAACACGTGCGAATTCATAATACATTCGTCAAGTAGAAACTCTTCACACATAAAAAGATATATTCATATTCCTTAACATGCCGTATATCCAAAAAATATTGTAAGCATCATACCCAGATGGCATTTTAAAAAAATCCCGACTGTCGTATATAAGTAAATCTGTTAATGAGTGTTATCAAATAAATTAGTGATTATAAGATGCATATTAAATCATATTAATTAATGGCAGTTTTCCATCGTGAACGTTTCCACCCTCTTAGAAACGCTTCTATCTGGATGAATTTCAGTATTCCGCCACGTGTTAATTTATGCCAGATGCACGTGCAGCTGCAAAACTGGCTGCAACTGCAGGAAGGATTCTCTAGCGGTGTGCAGGAAACGTAATTTCGTAGAAATTCCGGGTCTAGGAAGTACGCCTTTGGCAAGTGCTAGCAAACCGAAATACGTACGAGGGAAATTCGAGATTCGAGAAAGCGTCACACTAAAAATAAAAAGAATAAGTATAACAGAGAACTAAGATTAAGAAAGCAAAAGTCACAAAGTCCAACCCAACTCTGAAGTTTTCTCACGGTCACACATTCGGAGTCTTACCTGTCGACGTGTGACGTCAGATTTCCACTAAAAACCAGAGAAAATAGAATCCGTTATGAGAGCTCACTGCTTCATTTAAAACTACTCGTAACTCGGGAAATAAATTCCCGCCGGTCTATATTTAAAATACAATATTGACCCAGTTGAAACCGGCAGTTGGAACGAAGTCAGACTCGAGATTGAAACCGAAACTATAGAGGGAAAACGTTCCTCCACTTCGGGACAATTGATTTGAAAATGAATTATCCAATAATGTACAGTTAAACTGCATTTTGTACTAAATATATATATTTTAAGGCGATATGAAAGTGGCATCTGAGGGGTCAATAGTTCATGAAACTTTCCCACGTGAATATAGATGCTCTACGTAAGGTGACAACACCCATGAAATTTCATTTTTCTTCTTTAACACAAAACAGAAAATATTAATAAACAAATTTAAAAAATGAAATTTCATGGGTGACAGGACCTTCCTTAGAGCCTTCATCCTCACGTGGAAAAATTTCAGACGATTCGGTACACCCAATTCGAAGAAAGGATCATAAACGTGATCCTTGGACGCCACTTTCATATCGCCTTAAATACGCGCTGGTCACGAATGGTCTCTTTCCTCGTCTAAAATCAACAAAGGCCGTTTAGATAAGATTTAGAAAAGATGTAGAAAAAATTAGGTAGACATAAGAAATTGAAATATCGAAAAAAATAGAAATGGCAAGTAGCTTACTCTCTGCGATGGGCCAGGGCAGCCTGGTGATACGTGGAGAGGTTCCCCGTGGGAAAGCTGTCGTTGGATCCGTTGGCGTTCGCCACGAAGTGTTGCACCGGATCAGGTGACTCGTTCAGATAGTCCGCGGTATCGTTGTCCTCCGACACCGACGAAGGGCCCTGATAGTAGGTGTTCTGCTCATAGTAGTCGGAGGTCTCGTTCTCCTCGTTGTCGTAGTTCAGGGACTCGACGACTTCCGGTATGACTCGGTAGACGTCATCCTCGACCCACTCGAGGCCCTCGTACTCGCTGACTCTTCTGGGTACCAGGCTGTCATTTCCGAGGAACTCGGTTCCTCTATCAATCTGTTGGACGATTTCGTTATCGCGGGTGCCATTTACCCCGTCTGCGGGTAAAGTATCATTTTCCAGGTCCAAAGAACTACTCGAAGGGATTTCAAGGGGTTCTCCAGTGGGAGCAACGTCGGTACCGGGGGGTACCAAGATGGTCTCTCCTGGTACCTCCACGTTCCTCGGCAGGTCAAGGTACCTGGACCTCCCCAGATGCACTCGGTGTGCTAGAGGAAGAGGAGTACGCTGATAAGTAGTGTCGGCATGAAAGGAATGGCCCCTTTGGGCGCCATTTTCCTTAGCACCCGGCTTGGTCTTCTCGTCGGAGCTGGAGTCGAACTCGGAGTCGTCGTAGCGGATCTTGAAGATCACATGGGGCTCCATAGCCCGGACAGAGCTCCTGTGGAAGTCCGAGCCAATGCCGGTCTCTTCCTGGTTGCTTCTTCCTTGGTCCTCCTTGTTCTCGTGGGTGGTGAGGTCCTTCCAGGACTGGCCACGCTCCAGCCTCGACGCCTCGTTCTCGTAGTCGTACACCGCTTGCTTGTTAAAGGCGTCGAAGTCGAAGTCCTTGTCGTGGACCCTCTTCTCGTGAATCAACTCCTTCCTCCAGTCGCGTTCCCTCTTCAGGTCCTCGTAGTCGAGCTCCATCCTGTTGCCGTCGGTGTCGGGCTGTCGGAAGTCCTGCTGGTTCCTAGTCCTTTGGGGCTTCTTCCTCCTGCGCGAAATGGCCCCTAGGAGGGGCCCCTTCTTCGACTGGTCCTCTTCGTCCTCGGCCCTCAACTCGGCCTCCATCTTTTTCCTACCCAATTCTCGCTCCCGGATCGCCATCACCTCCTCGAAGCTGTAATTCAGGCTCTTCAAGAACAGCATCTCCGCGCTACTCAGGTCGCTGGTGATGATCTTCAGGATGGCCTTCTTCAGCATCTTCTCCAGCCTCTTCGTGCTCAGGGGCACCGATCCGTTCGTCGGTTCCGACCTGATGTCGTGCTCGGTAGAATCCTGGGGTACTTCTTGACTTATTGCCGTTTCTTGCTCTTCTTGGTGACGGAAGTCACACCAGCCTCTGGAGACCGCCAGCAGCAAGATCAGGATAGCCTTGGACGGAGCCATCCTGGTGCTTCCACTATTGGCTCCCACTTGTCCCAGGAACTCTGATGGAACTTGGAAATTCTGGCTTCTGGTGGCACCACTCACTCTAGACGTCTCCAATCCCTTTTAATGGTCTCCTCTTGATATTCTATGTTAAAAGTCTTCCGGATCCTGAACTTCACCTCACCTCCACCTGATCCACACGTCCCATCGGAAACCCACATACGCAGGACTCGAAGAGGTCCCGATCAACTTCCGCGCCCTGAACTCGATAAGGGTCCACGATCACTAATCGAAGAGACAAGTATCGTGATCTCGTATCGGATGTCCCACGTTGTCCGATAGTCTCCTCCTCTCAGACTCCGATTGCAGAAGCTGGACCGACGTGGAATGCCGAAAAGGTACCCGGTCCCTGCACCCGGGGTGATTCCCAACTGTGGAGTCTCTCAGCGATGTTATCTAATCGAGTCTCAATAGATCCGAGAGCCCAACCTCTATTAATCAGACACTAGGTCCAGAATGCAAGAAAACAACGAAAAAAGAAGTAGAAAAAACCTACAGACACGTCTCACACTTGTATCGAGACAGGGTCCTCCCTAAATCCCTCGATATCGTGTCCTAGATCTTAGTCTGGAGGTTTTCCCAAACCGCGGGAAGTTATTCCCGAAAGATCAGACTTTTTCACGTCTGATCCTCAATTTAACGTCTCGCACATCGAAGTCGACCGGTCACGGACGCGTTATCGCGAAAAGTCCCGGAAACTGGGTCGAACTTGGAGGCAGATCCTTGGTACGAAGACGGGACGACCGCGCGCGATTTTGAAATTTGGCAGACGGGGTTTTAACGCTACTTTGACTCGCGCTCTTCCGATCTTCGATTCCCCTCGTTCCGATTTCTGATTCCCGTTGGATCCGAAAAGGCAGAGGGATCTCTCTTCGGTGGGCGATGCTTGTCTGCGTGTGCCCGCGGTGAGCCGTTCGTCTCAACTGCGGGCCGGCACGTCTCGCGGACACAATTCCGTCTACTCAGTGATTCCAAGAGACGCGACCGCGACTCCTGGTCTTCTTCCCGGGCTCATCCCTACCCTGGCACCCGAGCGAAATACCCGTACTAGAGTCGGGCCGAGTTTTCGCCGAGAGGAATGGAAGACGGCCCCGAAAACGGGCCCGATAGCGCGACAACCGATCGCGCAGCTGCCGAAAAGGGCTCGAAAATCGGGACCGGTATCGGGCCTGCCGACGTGCCTCCACATGTCTCCCAAGAGTCGGCACCTAACTCTTTATAGGTCCCTCCCTTCCCTGCCGTCTAGACAAATCGAAAGATATAATCTTTGAATCATAATGTAGCGCCTCGGTAATCGGACGCGGCACACGGGGAGGGTGCCCGACACCCGTGGACGCGATTCCCGATGTCCTTAAGGAGGACTCCGAGTGTCTGCGCCGATATCGCAGTACCTGATCCGCCGTCTCAGTCGTATTTATTTGTTTCGAGACACCTCGGATTTCCGAGTACAACGAGACGACGCTTTTTGCCGCGCAGCTCGTGGGTACCAAAATGGCGGCTGAGGTACCAGCGCGTCGCTCGTCCTGGGCAGCACTTAATTATGTAGATTTCGGCCCTACGCGTAGAATATCCAGGCGATAGAATTATTGTTCTTCAACCTTAGAATATGGATGACATGCCGGTAATGAATTACCTGATACCAGTTTCAGGGGTGTGATGAAAATAAAAAGTCCACGTTTAAGGGTTGGCGTCGGGAGGTCCTAGGTAGGAAGATCCAAAATGGCGGCGCCCTTCCTCGGTTTAGAGTTTCTCATCTCGGGCGGATTCCGACCCGTTTAGCTGGCATTCTTAGAGGATTTCGGCAATCGATGCTCGCAGATTACGTCGTCCTGAGTCACCGAGCCAGTGTTTCGGTTACTGTTTTTTATTTAATTACGTGACTCTCCTGGCGGCCATTTTCGCCGGTAGTCCGGTCACCGGCGCAGTGACGCCACCAAATCCGAGAATTAGGTTAAACCGATGCCATTTTCTTCGAACCCATCGCTTTTGCGTCACTCGCGGGTTTCTCACTCGCAAATACGACGCATTATGCTCCCGTCGAGTCCGCCATAGCGGAAGATCGGGATATTTGCGTACTCCAGATTTAGTCGCGTTTCCCTCGGCGTGCAACATTGTCTCCTCGATTTCTTAATTCGAAAACCCGCCGCCAGGCGGGGCGCCGCGCGATCGCGAGGTACGGAAGAGTTTCGCACCAAATGCATCTAGGAATGTGCAGGAATACGTGGCTATCAGCTTGCAACCGAGAAAAACGTTACGTCGTAGAACTCGTATCGCTGGCGTAGGTCGTTTCGCTGTGGACTGCAACAAAAAAGGAAAAAAAAATAGAATGAAATGTAGGTTTCGTCGAAGTGGCATATTTCCACGAATTTCCGACATACTTCGCTGTCGCGATAGACGTCATGTCGAGAAATCCGAGCAGCAGCTTTGTCGGGAATGCTCGACGAGTGGATTATTTTGGATCGAATTGGGCGAGTCTCCGGTATCGTTTAGAGTGCAAGGTTATGTACGATGAGCGACTTAACCTCAAAAAAAAAAAGGCGTTTCAATAATGACGAATAAAAGAACGTATCTCGTCAAACTTAACCTCTATCCGGCTTGTTTCGGATTTCTTAATTTCCCTGGCTGGATGTTAAATTTTAATGCATGAATTATGGATTATTAGTGTATAAATTTGATTCTAAAGTGTAGATGCAATGTTGTATTTTTTCTTTTTTCCTTTTTTCCTTCGCAGTTGATATCGTCCCAGTCAAGGCAATGGAATCCGTGCGCGGCAGCACGTCGAGAATTCCTGCCGGGAGGATTATTTTGGATCGAATTGTGCGAGTCTGGTGCATCGCTTAGACTGCAAGGCTGCATAGCGCGCGCGCACGAATGGAAACGAAGTATGCAATTTGATCTAAATGTCGAACGCGCCGGTGCAACGTTGCTAACGTCACGCGTGCGCCCGTGATCGGACGGACGGATGGACGAACAGACAATCTGGCGTCTAGACGAACGAAAATAATAATGCGGCCTCCGTCGGATCAAATTGTTGTTTGCGCTGGTAACAGTCATAATATTTGTTAACGCGCTGTACACAAGTGGGGTCTCGTACGGGGAATTAGAAGCGGCCCGAAAGTAATCGGGACCTAACTGGTTGCGTCTGGTATTTGAGACGCCACCTTAATTATTATCAGGCCACCCGAATCAAAGGGACATCGTGGGCAGGATCTGCAAATTCAGGGTTTCAGGGAGTAGTATCCAAGATGGCGTCGTCCCTAGAGCCGCTCGGCCGCCATCTTGGTTCCGCGGATACGCGAAACGGCGAAGGTGAATCTCTCGGGTTATTTCCTGCGATTCGCAGGTGTAGTGGGATCGTGGACAGGATTTGCGAATTAAGGATTTCGGGGAGTATTATCCAAGATGGCAGCGTCCCTAGAGTCGCTCGATCGCCATTTTGATTCCGCGGATACGCGAAACGGCGAAGGTCAATTTCGCGGTTTATTTCCTGCGACTCGCAGGTGTAGTGGGATCGTTCGGTCTCAAAAGTGGACATGTAAATTCCGTAAACCTGCGATAAGACGGTTCAGGATGACCGGAGCGGGGGAGGTCTTCGAATTATTCAAAAATTCGAAGGTGGCGGAGGTGGAGACAGAGGACATTAGAATTGTAAAGAATATAAACCGCCGACGCTTCGAATAATCGAAGCTTCGGCGTAGTCTCGGGGAATTTACATTGTACAGGCTGATAATCGGGGAAGATAGAGGAAACCCGGGACCCGGGAATCGCGGGGGTGGTCGAAGTCGGATTGGCCTTCGAGAGATCGAGACCAATTCGAGGAACCGATCGACGAATCTGGAATCTGGAATCGATTGCGCAACTTCGATCACCCACGTCGACGACCCGGAGAAATCCTGATGTGCATACGTACAGTCGTAGATTTCGATGAACGAATCCGATTACCAGACAGGGCACAATGTAGGGGACCAATTTGGACATTATTTTTCCTTTCTTTCGAGGCGACATACCTAAGCGCGCCATCTTGGACAACCTCGGCGTCTGCACGCGTCCGCGAGATTCAACGAGGTGTTTAGTCTGCCTAAGATTTTGCAGTTTGATATATTTATAAACACGCAAGCAGAGTCGTCTGTTGGTCGTCGGGGATTTTATTCAAAGTCTCCGACCCCGTCCTCCCGAAACACGTTGGCCTTCGCGCTTTCGGATCGGTAAAATCGATCTTTCTGGTTCTTTTTTATACGAATAACTGCCTCGGGAATCCGCCAAGTTGGCGAAAATTCCCAGCGCAAAAGTCGAGCGATCGTACGTTAGCTTTTGAAACGATTAGGAAGGGCCCGTCCCGCGTCTACGTCTTATTTTATCGCTCTAACGAGGACGCCATGACTCACGTAGTACCGCCTCGCAGATTCGGCCCGAGCCCTAAATGGCGCATCGGACGCTGCGGAATAACTCATCGCATACGCAATTGAAGGGCGCGAACAAAGTTATAAGTAGCCCTCCTCGAGATTTTCCGGTTTATATAGTAATTTGATACATCTTCCGCGAAGCGGACAGGTTTTGGAAACCGGCCAGGAGTTTGAAAAGTGTAAAAAACCTGGGATTACATAGTTTCAAATTTGAAGACCCCCCTAGAAATCCGCCGACACTTCTGCCAAGTTCTTTAATACCCACCCGCGCCGACCTTCGTTCATGGTCTACCTAACCTCAAACCGAAAGCGATCCTAACCGAAGTTTCTGATAATTCTTCCAGCTTATGAATTCCTAATTTAGAGGGCGGTAGAAGTGATGCAACTCTGCAGGATAATTGCGGATGATTCGAGACTAACCGCATCTGCTTCTAAACGAGCCGCAGACTCCATCGAGCTCGAGATACGATCTTATCGGAGAGGCCGCCGTATCTTAGCGGAAAATGAGAAGGCAAAAAGACGAGCCTCTAAGCGTTTCGGGCGTATCTTTGCGGAAAATGAGAAGCGAAAGAGAGGCGAGTCTACTTCGCTTCCGGAATTCGGATCCCCGCCGAAGACCCGGCGATCCGCGGTCGGAGACAAAACGAGAGACAATATACCACGGCAGGATCGCGGGAAATTGCGATTCCCGCAGCGGAATTCGACGCGCGGAAGTACCGAGTTGCTCGGCGCAGTCGTAATTGTAAACCGCTAGCCCGCGGCGATCATCAGCGAGTCGAGAAGAGGGACGCAAAACGCGAGATCCTCCACTTCGTCCTCGATCCGAGACCATCGTTTCCGCCATCTTGATGCGCCACCTTGAACCGACGCCGCGCGGCGTCGAATTCTTGCAGTCGCTTCCGGCTGCGGCGTCTTCGATTTTTAGGCGCATCAGGCGAGGAAATTGCGCTTCCTTTAAATCTGTTTCTTTTTGTCAATTCGGTTTCGTGGTCGGTCCAAGAGACAAACTTGTTTATTGACGGGTTAAGGTGAAGTGAAACCCCCTTCAAATAAGTCGATTCGAATACAACACTTTTTTTTTAAGGGTATTAGACCAAACTGCCCAAAACTTTGACACATCACTCAAAAACTTTGACACATTCAAAATTTGGATTTTTTATACAAATTTGCCAACTCAGCCCAGACCAGAACCAAAATGGCGTCGAGCTCTCATATTTCGATCAATATACAATTATCGAAGGCTCTGATACGAGAATCGAAAGGGTCAGGACAATTTTACGACAATTTGGAACACTCTGGCAATCGATAAACTCGCATTTGAACGGGAAAAAGGCAAAAAAAGTGTTGTATGCGCTTCTATGCCAAAACGATGGGAATACGAGGTCTCGCAGTGAAAATTTAATTGACCTGGAAATCAGAGATGGCGCAAGGGGTCCCTCTGTAGTCAATTAGGGCCCCAGAAAGCATGAATCCAGAGGATTTCTGGAGTTTTGTTTCGATTTCTTTATAATTATTGTACGAAAACGACAGGTGGAGTATGCCATTTGGTGCAATACCCAATATAATTCGACACAGCTGTCAGTATAAAAACCAACGTCGATTGATGTCGATCAAGTTCCTCGGCGTCTTTCACTTCACCTTAACTCCTGGACAGACTAAATACGTAAGTGAGTCAGATACCGGGAGGTTCTGGAAGGGTGACGCAAAAGGACGGTTCGAAAAATCCCCCTAATGGGACGCTTGAAAAAGAGACCAACAGGCTTACGGGGCCTTCTTCGAAAATCGACTGGACATCGATGATGCCTTGGTTCGCCGAAGTCTTTCGAATATCAACGCGAGATGTGACGTCTAGACGGCGGCACGTGGCCGTAAGAATCCTAGACGCATAATCATCACGCATACGAAACGCGGAACGCAGTTCCGCATAATTCGGCGGAACTTTATGATTCCTCCGTACGATTCTGCAAAAGATTTCAGTTTTACGTTCTCGGAAGACTCCGGACTTTTGCTCCCACTTCGAGAAATTGAAATCTTTTTTAGGTTATCTTATGGCCGCGCGCAAGAGGAGGAATTTCTAGGAATTTCTAAAGATATGTTATAAAGCCAAGGATTCGCACGATTATGCGAAACTTTCACTCTGGACAATTCTGCAAGGTATTTGATCTTTACCATCTCAGAATTCTCCGCAGCTTTGGTCTTACTTCGAGAAATTGAAATTTTCTTTTAAGCTATGTTATGGACGCGCGGAAGAGGAGGAATTTCTAGGAATTTCTAGGGATATGTTATAAAGCCAAGAATTCGCACGATTATGCGAAACTTTTACTCTGGATAATTCTGCAAGGTATTTGATTTTTACCATCTCAGAATTCTCCGTACTTTTGGTCTCACGTTTAAATGTTATTTTAGATTACATTAAGGTCATGCGCAAGCGAAGGAATTTCCAGTAATTCTGTAAGAAAATGTTAAGCCGAGGATGAGCGCAAAACGGAGGGACGATTTTTTCCTCGTGTCAACCTCGGAAATGGTTACACAAGTCTTGGTTTGAAGGTAATAGCCTCGTACAACTTGCGGAATTATGTATGTCATCGTGCTTGACTTGTTAAGAGGTAGTAAGGTATGTTTTCTCGAGACGAAGTATTTTCACTCACCAGGAGTAGTCTCCCTCAAGCAGGCGAACACGGAACAACGTAACGTCAAGAGATGTTGAGTGAAACATTTCCGTGAATCCGGTGGCTAAAAGAAGAAGCGAAAGAGATAGTTTCCAACGATTGATGTACATATGTATTACGATTGGTTGTGCAAACAGAAAAGAAAAGAATAGAGACATACGTCGCACGTTTTTCTTCATTATACGTCTCGATTAAATTTATCACAATTAAATATGAAATAATAAAATTGAAAAGGAAAATTTACGGATGCAGATAAAAGTTCAACAGAATCCAAAATACTAAAATATCGCGACAATAAATGTGGAATATTAAAACATAGATGAAACATAAGTAAATGTGTAAATTGAGCACTTATTGTTGCACCGCTCGTGCACCGTATGTATACAATTCTAAACGATTATTTCGCTATCGATCCCTCATCGATCATCTATTGACACCCGGCTGGTATAACCTCATTAGAAGTGATCTTTTATCAAAAATTTCGAATCGAGTCTGGTCGAAAAAAATTCTTATCACCGATGTTTATCGCCGTTTCCTTTACATCTGTTACAAAAAAATGCACCTTCAATGAAATGGATAGTTCTATAATTGTTAATTAATTTCTATAGCGAAGGCGAATGTTCTTAATGACCTTCTAAATTTTTACCGCGACTTTTTGCTCTTATCGACAGTGTGCAGTTCATTGCGAATGTTCCTTAAAGCCTATTTAATTCTTGTCTAAGTATTGATAAGACCTCGAACTACGCCGAACGTGGAAACTACCTTCGCTCTGGAAAATGACTAGGAAAAAAAAAAAAGATATATCAACCAAAAGCGTCCGTTAAAAGCCAAAGTAAAAATTCTTCACGCTTTTGAGATTGTCTTCCCTAGTAACACAGAATAATTTCTAAATATTTGTTTGTAATCTTTGCTAAATATCTCAAGCGACAGATTTTTCAAGATTTCTTCTAGATTTCATTCGAAGATATCTGAAATATTTGTTGAAAATCTCAGTGACATATTTAGTTTCAATAATTTATAAACATATATAGAGATTATATTTTTTAATTTATGAACATATAATAAAAATTCATTCCTTTTACTTCACGATTATTATCGGACATTTCATTTGGTATCAAAAAACACAAGAAATTTTTGTAATATTTCCGTTCCGCTATTTCATTATGGGAGCAAAACGTGTGATTTTGATTTTAAATGTTTTTAAAACGTTTATAATGTATTCGGCAGATAATATTTAAAAAATACTCATAATAAAATGAAACGAAATGTTTTGTATATCTGTTAGAAAAATATTATGAAAACACATGGAGCTAATATTATATAAATATTATAGAGATAATATTCTAAAGTAAACGTTTTGCAATTATTTAAAATGTCTGCTAAATATTCACAAAACGCACGACATTCGTTAAATATATAGAAAATATAGGACAAATATTTTGTGCTACTAGGGTTGTTCCTTTTGTTTGACGAAGCGTGTCGTTCTATCGTCATATCTTGGATTATCCAATTTTACAGATATGACGATTGAACGCCATTTCATAAACTCAGTCTTGCGGCGGTTCTCTCTTGAGCATTATCAATTATTATCACGGGATTTAAATTCATACGCGACCACTGTTCTTCATACTTCTTTCGACGATTATAAAGCGTCACGTTGCAAACTATTACTTAAATAAATTCTTAACTTCTGTGATTTACACGAACAAGAATCAGAATCTACGCAGAGTATCGGACAATGATAAGCACAAATAATTGATTTGACATATACGGAAGTGTAAGAAATAATTATGTATATCTAGCGATCAACAATTCTGCAGTAAAGATTCGAAGTTGGAAAATTTCACCTTAATTATCACATCTTATCTAGTCACTCGGTATTTAATACACGTCTTCAGTGTTTTACAAGTTAAATAACGGAAGTTGAATGTCATGTTCATTGAGAATTCATTATTTTTAATTGTTTAACATTAAGGGGATGCGACTCGCCGGCTTAGACACACCGTGATAAAGTTACGCAGGATAAGCGTTATCATTAATACCTCAGAAAGATAGCGATCCAAACGAGCAACATTGATAATGAACAATTAAAGTTCCTCGTGAATCTCTGAATCAAAAGCGTTTAACGAGCGTGATGCTTGCGCAAGTTGCGGAAGGACATTTTCATAAAGTTTAAATTACATTTTCAGTCACACATTGGTGGAGAAAATTTCTTCAAATGCGTTTCGTGGCGATAACAGTGTCGAACGTTTCGGCAGAGAAATGTTCATAACGTAATTACGACATTGCCGTCTCGGAAAAGCAATTTTCCCGTGTCGAAGTGTGCCAAAATTTCTGCCATATTGGAAATTTATGGAAACGATGTCGGGCGCCGTCAACTACGGGTTCGCCGAGGTTGGTATCCTTTTCCTTATTACCGTGACTCGAATTGACAAAATAAAACAGAATTCCGTTAGTTCGGTGACGCAAATGCAGTCGGATTTTTATCGGCCGAAGTAACGACCAGATCGTATACATTTGCATGTCCTACTCTTCCAGGAACTTCTGCAAGACGTTAATTCTTCTTTTTATTCCTTTAGGACCCCGACGTGGAGATGATGGAAAAGGGGACGAGGAAAGAGCTGAATCACGAAAAGGTGAGATTCGGGAGAATTAATCACGTAAACAAGGATTAAAATCAATATCGCTCTACATACTCGAGTCGATTATTAATCCCACGGATTTGTGAGTTCATTGTTCGATTGCACCCTCAAGGACAGTGGAATTGTCCAGAGTCATTGTTTTGTGCTCGATCCAAATTACTTCCACCTTTTTTTCCTTTTTTTTTTAAAGCGAAACGCCCAGCTGATAAAAACGCGCGTTAAAAGTTCTCGACTACCTTAGGAAGTGCAGCGCTAATGATTTTCCATTTTTCATAAGGCCTCGCAGCTTTCCGAGAGTACAAACTGCTTAGCCAGGTTTAAGGACGGCTTGGAGGTTCTCTTTTCGAGAAATCCGAGATTCTTCGCCATTCTTGGATGGGCGATCCTCAACTCGCTCGTCTTCGCTTATCTCATTCTTGCGAGCTTGCATTGGACTAGAAATAGTACGTCTTAAATTGTGTATTTTACATATTTTTGGGGAAAGTAACCAGAATTATTTGGGATTTACTTGCATTTTCAGCCAAAGACTGCGCCTTTGAATGGTGCGATGGATTCGGAATGCTTCTCATAGTGTTAGGAATCACGTATTTTGGGTTACTCTACTATAAAGTCTTCAAGAGGTATTTAGGAAAACCTGTGACTCGGTGCTGCAGACCAATTTTCCTATTCTTGAGACGAAACTGGGAAACCAAGTGAGTCTCGACATAAAATCAATCACTAATGTCAATAAGTCAGAGCAGATAATTTTCAAATTGGGCATATACAATTTCTTTAAGGTTCATCTTTTGCACGTGGAAGACCATAACGCAATTTTTGATACTGCTCGGTATAGTTATATTTCTCGTTTTCGACACCGTGGGCTCAAGAGACAGGCTCATTAGTTTTACCGGACTAATTGTCCTCCTGACTTTGGGTTGGATTTTCTCGAAGCACCCTGGTCACGTGAGTGCTCAAACTGCAATTAGCGTGCAAACCTCTTCTCAGCAAAAGCTAACATTTCTCTATTGCTTCAGATTAATTGGAGGCCCGTAATTTGGGGCCTAATCTTGCAGTTCTGTTTTGGCCTCTTCACGATCAGATGGAACGTAGGTCGTGCAATATTTCAGTGCGTCTCTGAGAAAATTGCAACATTCCTAGATTTTGCAACAAATGGTGCCACCTTCGTGTTCTCCAATTTCCTGGTCCACGAGAAAGCCGTATTCGCATTTTCGGTGAGTTCGTCAGAATGACTGATTTTCTCCTTTCCTTCATCCGCCTTACTTTCCATTGTCGTTCCAGGTATTGCCGGTAATCTTTTTCTTCAGCTTGATCATTCAGGTTTTGTATTATTTGGGAGCCATGCAGTGGGTGATCATGAAGCTTGGTTGGATTCTCCAAGGAGTTTTGGGAACCACTATCTGTGAATCCCTTGTTGCGGCCGGAAATATCTTCCTAGGAATGGTAAAAAAATCTGCAAATTTCACTCTCTGTACCTTAAAACATATACGACTTTTCTTGCCTGATTTCTCCGATTGTTATTCTATTAGACAGAGTCTCCGCTTTTGATCAAACCATATTTACCCAACCTGACGTCTTCCGAAATCCACGCTGTAATGTGTTCCGGGTTCGCCTCGGTTTCAGGTATGTTTCTTGAAAACGTACTTTTTCTCTGTATTTTGAATTACGACTGCTGCAATACTGGTAACGTTGTTTAAAAAAAAATGTATATATATATAGGTACCGTATTAGCCGCTTACATCGGCTTCGGAGCACAACCGGCTCATCTTATCACGGCATCGGTAATGTCAGCACCTGCATCCCTCTGCTATTCGAAACTGTTTTATCCGGAGACTGAAAAGAGCTTGACCACCTTCAAAAACATTCCGCTACAAAAATCGTAGGCGCTATTATGCATTTCTAATTTGTCTTAATTTTTGCTCTGCCCTTAATTCGTGTAATTCAAATTTATTAAAAAAAAAATGTATAGTGATGATTCTGGAGTTCTGGACGCAGCCACGAAAGGAGCATTGGCAGGGATTCCCATAGTTCTTGGAATAATAGCCAATATAATAGCTTTTGTTTCCGTCATCGCTTTTATGAACAGTATTCTCTCTTGGCTGGGAGTTTTAGTTGGAGTCGATGGTCTCACTTTTGAGGTGAGACAGTAACATTTCATTAGATGAAAATTTCTTTTTTTAGTGTCTAATTCCCGTTTGCTCTTGCAGTTCATCCTGTCGAAAGTTTTCATGCCCCTAAGTTGGATTATGGGAGTGCAGTGGGATCAATGCGAAGACGTTGCCACTTTGATTGGTCTGAAAACAGTTGTTAATGAGTTCGTGGCGTACCAGAAATTAGGGGAGTTCAAGGAAGCAGGAAAATTATCCCCTAGAACTGAAGCTATTGCAACTTATGCCATTTGCGGGTTTTCGAATCCAGGATCGCTGGGAATTATGATCGCACTTCTAGTAACTTTAGCTCCAGAGAAAAAGGAACAAATTACGCGAGTTATCGTCAGGGCTTTCTTTGCTGGCAGTGCAGTTTGCTTTCTTACCGCCAGCATCGCAGGTAAGGCAGTCTGCACATTTATTTGACATCTTTCAACGGAAATGCGATATTTATTTTCCTAGGAATGCTGATGAATGAGGATTTTTTCACGGACACAATGGTAGCAAGGAACTCTACTAACGATACGACTATGTTTCATAGTAATTAATATTTCGTCAAGGCCAATGTTATTCACTGTGTTCATCTTCTGTTATGTTAAAATGAAATTATCTTGTTTTAAGGCATTTTCTAAGATGACAGTTTAGTAAAATATTCCTGATTCATATCAGAAAGTGGCGCAATGTTTTGAAACGCACGATTTGTTAAGAATGAAAGTCAAGATCATAAATGCATTGATATATTATATGTATAGTGTAAATAGAAACATTGTAACAAAATGTAAATATTTTGAAGTTTTGCTAACTTAATCTAAATGTAATACGTTTACTGTGCATCACAGACTTTATACGAGAATGGGTGCAAAAACTGAGCATGTATACAAATACTTGTCATCTTAAATCACTGATGAATCAGAACGGTGACTCAATTTTTTAATCCTGCATGGACGTTTCCTTGTTCCCACTTTACAAATATACACTTCTATTTTGGGCACTTTTCAGATTACGATTTTTCCCCACAATCGTAGAAACAGACAGCGTGAAAACGTGAAACTTCTGCGCGCGAAAATATCGTAAACTGCAAAGGGTAGTACCGTAAAAGGACCAAATGAACAACAAGCAACGTAAATTAAAAGCGTTGCTTATTCTGTTCATTATTAGTCTTTTCCACTACGTCAAGGCATGGAGTTGATGAACCTCGTAGAGACTATGAGTTCGAGTGAACACAACGGCAGTTACCTCTAACATTTTCGGTAAAATATCAACATTGCGCTGAACATGTTCTCCGCAGACCTGAAAACATAAGAAACAGCAACCGACTAAAAATGTTCAATTGTGCAATGCCACAGAAACAGTCCTTAAAAATATTAAATTGTATCTCACCTTTTTTAGTAAAGCTTCTCGTGTAGGCAATGTGTACATTGCTACAACAGCTGCGGTTCGCACAACCCAAGGATGATGCTTTGCTAATGTTTTGCCATAAGCTTCTTGACAACAGCTGGATGTCTTCTCCGCATCGGTTAAGTCACCCAAGCGTTGCATGAATTCTCTAATAAAATCTTAGCATAATTCCCAGTCAATAAACAAGAGATAAAAAAAGGTGTTCTTCATTCAACTGTACAGTAAAAAATTATACCTAGCCCACGATGTAGCCGTAGCAGCGTGCGAGCCCCATTACTCGAGTCGGACTTCAAGATCTTGCGTTGTTTTTCATAACTAATCATCGACTTGATCGTTGTGTAATTATCTCCATCCGTTTTCACCTTTTCCGATAATATATCAATTTTCTGCTTCAAATCGGAGGAGACAAAGCTGAATACGCTTCCCATGAGCTGGAAAAATCTGCGCAGAATTCACACTGCGAATTCCTGTGTAAAGAGTATCCGCAATGGTCATGGGAGGACAATGAATTATGGACTCAACCAAGTTCTTAGAAGAGTGCATTCAACTTTATACTTCGAAATCAAATTAATAAAAAATCATTCGATGTTACCAAGTGATTAAAATGCAAGTTTCTTTAATTCCACAATAGCAAAATATTATCAAGTAATTATGTTGCTAAGGAAGAATTAAATTTCAGAGGTTAGGCCACACATTGCGAAATTCTTGTTAATATAGGTGGAACGAGGTCTGAATATACCAGCTGCTGAATATAAAGGAAGCGATAAGATAAATTACATAAGTATTGGATATGCCTTCACCGTTATCTCTGACAGAGAAATGTTTCCATCGTACATTCATTAAAACATACTTTATATTTCCAAAATATATTATGTGTAGTGGCTTATCAATATTCTTCCCCATAATCAAAGGAAGTGGCGTGCTGACTCAGAAACTGCATTTCAAAACTGATAAATACAAGCTTTACAACAAACAGAAAATGAAAACTGGAAGCTCTTCTTTCATGATCGCCTTTATCTAAATATTAATTATTACAGAAATAAATGAAATGTCCTGAAATACTGTAATGAAGTAAATGGTGAAAAAGAAATCAGGAAGAGCTGACCATCCGTACTGATATCGCGACTGACGATAGTGCAGGTTTCGCTCATAAAAGTGAGGTTAAAAATCCGAAATAGACTTACTTGTTTAATTCGTTATACGCGTCCAAGTAGGCCTTAATATCAATGTCATCGTCCTCAATGAGAGCACGTTCGAAATGATCGTGGACCACTCTCAAATCGAAATAACTCACTTCCGTACTTTCCGCCATATTTCGACGCTCCCTCCGGTTGTTCCCGTTTGTCAATCCGACAAGTTCGGCACTAACTGACAATAACAAAGAGTGGAACTAGCAGAGATGAGTTGGGAGATTGCTCACGAACAGGGTCACCGATCGGTACTGTGCTGCCCCCCGGTGGAGGACGCGGACAGCTAATGCACTTGCCACCTAATATCCCCCAATGGCGGCCCAATTCAGGGATCCTCCTCATTTCTGCTCCCAACTCATTTGTTCGATAACAAACATCGTTTAACATCTTTTAACATCTCTTACCAACAAGTCCAGCAAGACCTGCGGCGATGAACTACCCATGATGACCTGAAAAAAAAATGAAACCTGTTGTGATCCACCTAAACCTGGAAAGGGGCATAAAAGAACAGGCAAAAAAGAATATTAAAAAAAATTCAGGAAGTCTGAGATTAGACAGCGAATAATTTACTAAACATCAAGAATATTAATGGTAGATTGATCTCGTTAAATTGACTGAGCTAGTATTTTTCATATCACTAAGTAAAAAAAATCCATTTAAATGTAGAATCGACAAACTATAATCGAAATGATCGTTAGTCGTCTCTTTTCCATCAACCCTGACAAAGTGACATAGAAAAAAATAGATGGGAAAACGTGGCGAAAAAATGGATGGCTGTCCGTTCGAAAGAACGGAAGACCATCGTAGTTGTCCTCTTCTTAAGGGGCCGCTTCAGCATATAGTCTCTTTGACTCTTGCAGTTTCTTCGGGCAGAGCCCTCTATGTCTCGAACGCTCGGCAATCCCCTGATTTTTCGTATTAAAAAGAATCACTCCACGAGCAGATCCAAAAGCTAGCAAAACGACAACCTACGATCCGAGGATGCGCAGCAGTCCGTGCGTATTGCACATTTATCCGGATTCCCAAGCGCGGTCTAATTATTTTCATATCTGAAAGAAAATTGTCACAATTACGGACATGTTACAAGACGAACATTCTCCACCCTTCCGGAAGGGTGAACGATAAAAAAGTCCCAGGTTTAGGATCTCCCCCCAAACCTCCGAGAAGAGATCCTACCCTGACTCTGCCTGTTTACATCTAAACGTTCACTCCAGACAACTATCCTCCCTAGCTATATCTAAAAAATCAACCGCATTCATTCCAACACACTCACTCCACGGTTCTTTTACACTCCACCCGAGGGCAAAGAACCTAATCCTAGGGAGTGCATCCCGGGATGCCCCCGACCCTCGAGTTTAGTACTCGCCCTCAAACGCATCATCGATTGCCATCGCCGGTTGAATTTAAAAAAATTAAATTAAAACGTGCAATCGGAACCCGGATGGGTGCACCCCCTCGCCATTTACGGAGCCTCCCCTGAACCTCGTTAGGAACGGGAATGCCGTCGGTCCTTGAGAAATATTTTACGCCACGTTAGTTTGAATTCGGAACGTAGCACGCAATACGACCCTCGCCATTCTCTAAACTGATCGCGGCGTCTCATCACGGCGGCTTATGCGGATCAACTGCCGGTCCGTCGGTCCGGCCCGCGACCGCTGGCCGGACCCGGCTCCCAGATTGGGCCTGACCTCGCCTAATGCGGAAGCTGGATCGCGGCCAGAGATCGCCATATATAGGGGTAACTCATTTCTAGCAGACACTTTAATAAGTGTCAATTCACTTAATAAACTACGTGCATCCATTACTTAGTGCAGTAAACTGGATATTTTAATTAATATTAAAAACTAGTGTTTCATGAATTCTAAGCCATTTTATATAAAAGTAAAAGCTGGTACTTAAATTAATTATCTTGAAGTGTTAACGTTGCACTTAATAATAAAGGCTTTAAATAAATATAGATGAAAGAATTCTATGTACAATCTTAATTCTACTCGGTGTATAATACTCCTCATTTTCACGTACTCCCATTAAAGCCTTGTTCAATTTCTGTTTTTGTTTTCTTCAAGGTCTCCGGCAATGCCAATGCTATGAAAAGCGTCGCGGCCACCGAAATCGCATCGTAGATGTATATTGTTGCAATGGGATCGAATCGTATGAGTGTAGGGTATAGTTGAACAGTGGCAAAATTATAGAAACCGACCAAACACGTTGTAGTTGGTCCCAAGATGTTCACGAATCTGGTTGGATACAGTTCGCCGATCATGGCCCAGGGCAAAGATGTGAACCCGAATGATCCTGTGGCCTGAAATTAAATGCAATTTTTAAAGCACTGCTTCCTAATATCGATAATTTTTTCCAGAGATTTCTTACCACGAAGAAGAGGATGCAAGCAAGTGGCACGCCGGAAGTGTAGGAATTTTTGAAGAACTGCTGATGTACTCCCAAAACTGCTAGGGAAACCGACATCCCTACACCGGAGATCAGAGCTGCTGGTCTTCTACCAACTCTGCAGATAAATTGAACGATTTAATTAATTCGTCAGAAATTATTTAACAACCTGAAGACTTCTTTGTTTTCCATACAGCACCTGGTCCCGCAGACAACCAACACGATGCTGCCAATTAGCTGGACCAATCCAATGACAACAGTCACCACAAAAGGGTCCTGAACAATTCCCATCTCAGTAATAAAGTCAACAGCATAAGCGATGATAACATAAATTCCGCAAAACTGTTGGAAAATGAAGAATGCATTTAGGATCAAAAAGGGTTTCCAGACTTCCGGAATCTTCAAGGCTCTGGCTAATATCCTGAGTCTATCCCAAAACCGTCTGAAAGAGGATGACCCGTTGCCCTCCTCCGCTATTATCATAGTCGAGTCCGATTGCTGATCAGTGTTTGACACAATCATTTCCACATTGGACCTAAAATCGTTCCTCCATTAAAAGTTGAATATTTTCTGGTATTACAAAAAAGGAATTTAAATATCTAATACTCATTTCACCGCAGAAACAGCATAATTTATAGAGGACGCAAAAAGAACTTATTGTTAGTCTCGCGGCAAATACACCGTAAAGTATATGTATAGTTACATCCTTAGGAACCTTTGTAGTACCGAGAGTTGCTGTAGCGAGTCAGTTCTTGAAATTCTTGTAGAAATTTCGGGGTCTCGAGTTTGAGTCCCCGCAAACGTAACAAGGATTTCTTGGCCTCCTCTTCTTGTTTCCTCTCCAATAAGAACCTTGGACTCTCCGGAAGGAAGTAGACGGCAGCGCTGGCGGACATTAACGGCACTATTGTTGAAACGATGGCGACCAGTCGCCAGTTGTTCTAGAGTTGGAAAATCATTCGCCGAAGGTCATTCCAGTTAGGTATGGCGGGGTTTCTGTCGGTTTGAAATGTGAATACTTCGATAACGAGGCCCAGGAGGTAAATTAGCATGATGCCGAGGGCATTGAAGAGGCTCGATGCTGACGTCAGTGCTGCCGTTAGGCGAGGTGTAGAAATCTCCGCAACGTACACACTACTTGGTGCCGAAGCCATTCCCATAGACAGTCCTGTCAAAGTGACGTTAACGGACATTTTTCAAATTTTCTCCTCAAGCCTGTTGGGTTTCCCCGGTCTACCTCTTCGTGTAAAATTTCATTTTTACGTTTCGCATGCGTTTTACCGGTGATTAGTCTGCCGCAAAGAAGCTGAGGCGCGTTATGGCTGCTCGCAACAATGACCCAACCGACACAGGCAACGAAACTTGCGAAAACAATGGCGACGCGTCTTCCGAATTTCATGGTTCCAATGCTGATCAAACTGCCAGCAGACTGCGACACAACCGTCAGAGAAGCTGAAGAAAAGAAATCCCAAAGTGGAGTTAGGACTGAAAAGGGAGTTCCCTAGTAACTTCTTATTTGCAGAGATTTTCTCACCAAACAATGTGGCGTCGCTTTGGTTTAAAATTATATCCGAAGAGCCGTCCACCAACAAAGGCAACGCTACGGCGGAATATCCCATGTTCATCCCGGTGTTCAGTACACATGACAATGCCACTGATGCATACAAAATCTAAAACAATGTCCTTTCCATAAATGTACAATGTATCTTGAAACTTCTTAAAAATAAATATTTATAAAGTGTCGAATAAATATTTAAGATCACAGGAGCCCAATTTTCCAGTCCTACCGAATTCCTGCTTACGGGAAAGTCAAGAAAATCGTCTGAAAATTTTCTTAAGGGGATGTGAAAGTGGCATCCGAAAGTTCAAACGTTCATAAAACTTTTCTACAAACTGGGTGTCTCAAATCGTTTCATACTTTAAAACGTGAATATGGAGACCCTAAGATAGGTCTTGAAACTCTTGTAGTATGTAGAATCTTGTAGTCTCCCTATTCACGTTGTAAAGTTTAAAACTATTCGGTAAACCGAGTTGGGAGAAAAGTTTTATAAACAAAACCTCTTCGACGTTACTTTACTATCACCTTAACAGAAATATCGTGCAGAATGACGTTAAATAATAATTTTTCTGAAGTCACAACATACCTGTAACGTGACTTCTCTTTCTGGACATGTCGGGTACGTGAGCAACATCTCTCTCTGGGGTAATAATTAGATCGTTAATAGATATCTTTTCTTATTTAATTTTGTATATACTATTTCACGATTAGTTGGAGGTGTCTACAGACACGATATTTCATCGCGAAAACGAGTTCAGGACTGGGTCCCCATTTTGCAGGTGATGAGAAATAAGTACATGTTAGCGAGCTGTTATCAGGAGTATATAGAGTTGATAGATACATAAAGTCGTACATAGAGGAGGTAGGTACAAACGTGTGTTGGTTTGGAATTTAAAGACATGTGCTAAATGAGTGCCAAGAGTGAAGCCGACTGTATAGGAAATGTATAGTGCATATATCATCCTACGTACCTATCATCCCACGTAATAATAGTACCTGCGCATTATCGCGAATGTATGCACACCTAAGATCATCTTCATTTCATGTGACGTAATTTGCTACGATTTTTTTTTATATCGTTCCCTTTGTGCTCTCTGAGCTATCGGTGATTGGTCTGCGTCGATTGTCGGTAATTCATGAATTATGAGAATTTGAGGAATGCGAAAAGAATGGCCGATTTTCTGGAAACGGGCGATGATTCCATTCTCTGCATCTGGAATAACAAAGACGACGCGATGAAATAATTCCTGACAAGTGTAATAGATTTAGCTCTTGGTGATTTTAAAATATAGCACCTTGAGAACAGTCATGTCGGTTTAATGGCGTCCATTGCGGGGGATCGCATTATGGGAAGAGAAAGAAAAATCAAAGCTGCGGTCGTTGTAGACATGCAAACCGACACTTAAAGTAATTCAGATCTCTGCTTTAACGGTGCATAATATTTCATAATTGGCCGTATAATTTAGTTTGGTATCGCGAGATTGAAAGAGGGAGACAGAGACGTTCATTAACAGACTTTGTGTTCACTTTGGAGCATAATTTTTACCATGGGTCCGCTTGAGTCGAAACTTTTAATTCTATAGTCTCTCTAAGCCTTCTAAATAGGTTTTGAGCTAATACAAAGAAAGGTAACATTTATATTATAGTTGAGGTCTTATTTTAGACTTCTACTTTTAGGCCTAAAGTAAGAATTAATTTCCATTAATTTGAACTTAGGACCTCGAAAGTAGGATATGAAGAGTGAAATAGGATTAAATAAACTTACGTAAGTTACGCAGGTTTAAATTAGGGGAACAAATTTTTATTCGGGTCAGAAATGAAATTCTCAAGTTTTGACCTGAATAGACTTGTTTGATTTGTCATTGTGCAACAAGGGATCAGGGAAAATGATAATTTGATAATATGAGGCGCAACTTGTCATCATTTTAATTCCAGTTCTGGTATCATCGTGGCGGCACGCGGTCTTTCGAATAACAGTTCTGCCGTTCTTTCTGACGTTACATTTAAGCCGATTAACAGGGATATATGAATCACAATGAATTACTATAGGAATGCGCAAACTAAGTCCAGGGAATTTGCATCTGCCGTAATTAGACACCATCCTCTGATTCATTTAGCAGGAAATGTTACAGAACAACGAATGCAAATTGTGAGAATGGCGAAATTGTGGAATTTTCGCGTCCACGAGAAAACCTATTTAATCAACCTGATCTTCACTATGCAACTTCTAGCTCAGATGTCATCATTTGATAATTCCGTTTTTTTTGGCTTCATATCATTTCGAGATATCAGCGTGATAAGCAACATCCAGTGACCTACAGATTCCAGTTTCGGAAATAAAAAGAGTAACCTTCCTCTTCCCGCTTCTTCCAAGGTTTACTCGGGCATTAATCCATGATTTATCGTTAAGGATTAATGTTTCCTTTAAAAAATCAGTTTCTTCGGAAGTGATTTCTTTCTACAGATTAGAGCAACCTTTTGTCTTCTGGTTGGAAATCAGCAGACCTGGATTAAATGAAGATTCTTCACGGTGATGTCACTATGGATTATAAGATCACTTATAAATCGCAGTTTTCTCAAGAATAGAACAAAGAAATTAACTTTTTCCTTTACCTCTTCCAAGGCTTTCATTATTTGCCAATTCGCGAGGTAAATGGAAATTTCTTTCGTTGGGGCACTTATTTTCCTCTTTCTTCGCGTCCGTAAAGTTGTTCGAGCTGTTTTTTATCTGCAAGGACGTATGTACTTTAAGCATATATGCTTTGTCTTATTATATAATTCCATTTGCACGCTCGCATGGAGTTTCATTGAACCAATAATCCTGGATAAGGAATACCAGTCCTCTATCTTTAATTACTCACTTCGTAAACCGAGTTACTGTGTCGAAATGGAGGTGTCATTGTAAAAAGTGCATGTCAACATCCTGCGAACATCGAAGTGTCTCGACGGAGTTATTGACTCACTTCTGCCTTAATTGGTTATTATTAGCTTAAGTATGTGATTTTCCATTTAAAGATTTAACTTTAGAAATAAGCCTCTTCAGAAAGGTCAAGGAAATTACGCGCAAACCAGAATGTTCTGCATAACGGCATACCGAGGATACGTAATTGCAAAGATAGAAATCGGTATTTACCATTTTTTTACAAAATATACGAGATGGAGAAGACGTAATACGCTATGATAATTATGAGTGCGATTGGTTAGTTTGGATGTGCATGCAAAACAAATGGGGGATTTCTCAATGTCGACTAAGTGGAGGCTGCACTATCCGAGAAATACTATATTTTATACATGTTATCCATCTCTTCTATCTTCTCAAAATATTCAAGAATACACTCGGCAGATATTTACACAGATGTCTCTAAATGTCGCTAAAAATGCCGTGTTTATTCAACTGCAACAATAAATATCTGCGGGGCTATAATTTATTTTTAACAATTTTGGGGAAGTTTGCGGTTCCGCAAGTCCGCGTAGTGTACGACGCCTCCGAGGGGTGGCGACACCGGTGCACCATCTTGCAAGCGAGACTTTTGTTCTAGAAAAAACAATAATTACACTGTTTTAATTCAAATGCAACATTAATTTGCATAGAATAATGCATTAAATCATGCTGAAGAGGACAAAAAGTTAGCTGATAAATGTCTACTCGCAATTTATTGGCTAACTATACGTCATCGGAGGAATTGAAAATCTTTTGGGATTCCTTTGTGGAAACGCCTATGTCCGCAGAAAAATCGTTCCAGAATAGTCTAGAAACCTGCAATTCTTCTTTAATCCGAGTCCACAAAGACGCGATTACTCTTTGCTCAGAAAATCCGCAGAATGAGGCCTTGCCGATGACTCCTTCGAAAGCAGCTTCCAAGGCTGGTCGGTCGAGGAATATTCCAACTTTGTATCAGCTAAAGCGCACATGGTAGTAAATTATGCTATAACAGGCGGATATTAATCGCACCTTACATTTTCAGGTCAAACACACATAATGCCGCGTTTACTCTTAAACTTTACCCAGTCGCTAATTTCACAAACCGATGTTAATCGAGGGAACAGTCGGCAAAGAAGACGTTCTGCCGATACGACATGACGTTACCGAAGAAACATACGACTCTGTCGGTACATTAAAAATTCTCCAAAGAATCTTCCACATTCGGCGTTAAATTTGTACCATTGATTTTCAACAATGTTTAAAAAAAAAAACTTGGACGGCATTTCCCAATCAGAGATGCCTAGTAACGTGCCGTATACCTAGATAACAATTATTGGTCGACGCAGAGATGTATTTTCTACAATAGGATAAAAAATTGTCTATAATAATTCGTTTCTTAGTACCAAGTCCAAGGAAAGTCCGAAAAGATGGCGTAAACGTCTCACCGACTCTTTATAACCTATTTATGTACGCAATCTTGGATTACAAACAGACCTGTTAGTAATGAAATGCGTCATTCTTCAATTAGTCCGATTACTAGTAATTAGACAACGATCTTGTTTTCACTGATGCCATTAATGATCTGCGTAGAATTGTTCCATTGACTTGAAGGGAGAGAAGAGACGTCATTATTAGGAAGTTAGGGCGTTGTTCGTTACTCTTCTTTCTCGCAGAAATGCCGGAAAGTTTTCGCCAATGCTGTAATGATAAAAGGCCAGTGATAAACGCAATCCGTGGACATAAGCTTCGGAATAAGCAAGCTTAGGGCAGACCGGTTCAACGGCGTCGCTTGGAAACTACATCAGTCCAGTCTTGTCTCTCATCAAGTTATCTCGCACCTCTAAGTGCTCTTTCGGTGCACTTAACAGCACTTCATCAGGTGTTGTTGTAGTATAGAACATATAAAATAGTAAAACCGCCTTCTATTGAAAAATGAAAACGTCTCAACTTCAGTGGAAAAGATCAATTAATTAATGAAAAAGCTCAGTTGAAATAAAATGAAGTAAATATGAAATTAATCGAAGTGTTCTTTCGGTGCACTTAACAGCACTTCATCAGGTGTTGTTGTAGTATAGAACATATAAAATAGTAAAACCGCCTTCTATTGAAAAATGAAAACGTCTCAACTTCAGTGGAAAAGATCAATTAATTAATGAAAAAGCTCAGTTGAAATAAAATGAAGTAAATTAATCGAAGTGTTCTTTCGGTGCACTTAACAGCACTTCATCAGGTGTTGTTGTAGTATAGAACATAGAAAATAGTAAACCCGCCTTCTATTGAAAAATGAAAACGTATCAACTTCAGTGAAAAAGATTAATCAATTAATGAAAAAATTCAGTTGAAATAAAATGAAATAAACATGGAATTAATTAATTAAATATTAATTGTTAACCGTTGAAGGAATAAGTTTCGAGTGTTTCCTGTTTGAAGTATCTATTTCTGTTTCTCGAAATGCAGTCTCTGACAATTTTACAAGTACTTATTTAGAAGAATCGAATTATTCGGAGTCAGTGGAGATTTAAAGTGATATTCATATCTAAGTTGAAATTTGGGCGAGATAAATTTTTTACAAATAACGCGAAATAGGGAGATCGAAATTTTGTTATCTAACGGAGATGATTGCACGTATTTAAACCGACGTCAGTGGGTTTGAAATTGATCTTCGTTTCGTAATAATTATCATTGCAACATGGCGCTAAGGCGCTGGTGGATTTCGACATTGTTGCGCGTGTTACCCTGAATAATAAGACACATTGAAATAATAACAAAATTTCGGCTTAGTTCTATATTTTTGTAATGGAGATTTTCTGGGTTCCCCTGTTAATGCTAGTCGGATAATTGCGTCCAAGCCCTAGTAGCATAGAATAATTTCTAAATATTTGTTTGTAATCTTTGCTAAATATCTTAAGCGACAGATTTTTCAAGATTTCTTGTAGATTTCATTCGAGGATATCTAAAATATTTGTTGAAAATCTCAATGACATATTTAGTTTCAACAATTTATAAACACATATAGAGATNCTTTGAAATATTTTCAAAACGTTTATAATGTATTAGGCAGGTAATATTTAAAAAATACTTGTATTAAAATGAAACGAAATGTTTTGTATATCTGATAGAAAAATATTATGAAAACACATGGAGCTAATATTACATAAATATAATAGGGATAATATTCTAAAGTAAACGTTTTGCAAAAACTTCAAATGTCTGCTAAATATTTACAAAATGTAGGATACTCGTTAAATATTTTGAAAGTATAGGACAAATATTTTGTGCTACTAGAGAGGAAACAAACGGCAACTTATTTTAATAACGATGATCGATTTGCGGGGATAATGACATAACACGTGCTTTAATTTATTGCAGATCTTAGAGATGGAGGAAACCGAGTTGGACCGAAGAAGAGGTAGAAATTACCAAGTGCGTAAGCGACCTCAAAATTGTTAATTAACATTATGAAGTTACTTGGAATAAATGGAACATAATTATCAATTAATACCAGATTCGTCTTTCCCCGTTAAATTCTACGAGAGTTGTATTGTTTAATCTTATCAAATGAGTTACTAGAAGGGGTAGTAAGACATTTTTAAGAAACAATCGCACGCAACTTGATAATTACTGTCGGGGAAGTGTATTCTTTCTTAAAAGGATTCTTTTCAAGGAATATCAGAAATCCTCTCTTTGAGGTCATCAAAGTCTGCAGATATATCACTCACTGATGTCTTTTTATCTTCGAGAAAATATGACTGAAGGTCTGATAGCGTTATCGGCCACCTAGAACTTGCCCCCAGCAAAGTGCCGAGGTTAATTAGTTTAGGCATTTCTGGAATCTGACTTTCAACACATGAGGCGTGTAGAGCGCCCACGACAAGTACATATATTCACAAGTTTACCGGAGAATAAAATTAAATTAAATTCCTTCAATGGAAAACTTAAAAAGAAAGGAATAATTTAACAGCTCTACTATGAACAAGCCTTGATCTATGGAACGACTTTTTGACAACAATTGAAGATTTATATTTTTATTATAAATCAGGCGAGTCCTACGCATATGCTAATTGTCCATAGAAAAAAATCTCATGATCGGTTCCGTCTCTCACCGATCATTTCATAACTCGAGTATATAGCATTACGTGTTTACGCACTTACGCGACATACGCATATTTTCATTTTTTGCACGATTTAGTGGGACGAATACACGTTTACTGACAGTATCCTTTCAAGTCAATTTTATGATTACACAGCTCCGTTCGTGATTATAGGCTTTGCGGAGCATATTATAAATCGCGTCATATCACTCGCGTTCTGATCGGAAACTGCAATTATTGTACGTTTAACGTGCGGGTTAAACATGTAATTAAAGCAAGGAATGTAATTTTGTACTCTGTTGTAGTGTGTCGATCCGTCGAAGATGATGAAGATTAACTCTTCAAGTATATCCTTGAGATTAGTGGCCTAGTAATTTGCATGTGTATCGAGAATACATGAATACGTTTTTACAGATGCTGATCGGCTTCATTGCAAATTTGTCGGTTCTGGGACCAGCAATGGGTATGGGTTATAGTGCCATTGCACTTCCTCCCCTGACTTCCCCAACGAGCGAATTAAAAATGACACAGAATCAGGCATACTGGATAGGTTAGTAGAAATTAGTCTATATGAAGTCACCTAAGTCGAAATTTTAGCCCTACTTTGAACCTTTATGGTCTAAGTAAGACTTATTTTGGTCCTATTTCACTTGTTATCCACCTTTCGCATTTCTGCGATCTACATAATACAAATCAAGTCTTAGTTTAAGGTTAAAATTGGAAGAAATAAAAATGTCTCCCACAATTAAGGTCTGAAGTAGTACCTCAACTATACAGATGTTAAATCACAAACCCCATTTAAAAGGCCCACAATTAGTTCTAAGTAGAATAAAAATTTCGACTCGGGTGTTCACTCGGAAATCAGGCAAACCGATATCCATCTTTGAGAAGTAATTGCTATGAATTTTATATAATAAACGGGAACGTTATTCAGTAGCCAGTGACGTTCGGTATTAAAATTTCTGAAACAATGATTCGACGATTTCTAACGATTTCCTGGCTGTGTGAACCTGGAATACATTTTGACGCACAAACAAAATAAACAGGCTTGTTCGAACGTTTCTGTGATGTAGATGTTTGTGCCATGTTGAGTTTTGTTTGTGCCATTTATTTTACAAAAGTCAGGGCTGTTAAAAAAAAATAAACAAATTTCGAAAATGACCATTTTAACGTTTTCGAGGTTCTAGGAGGTTCTGAATTTTCCTAACGTCAGAGAACCCATTAGAGTCGAAAAATCCCAATTTACACGATTTCGGAATTTGTTTATCTTTTTGGACAGTTCTGGTTTTTGTAAAGAAATGCCGCAAACAAAACTCAACATGACACAATCGTTTACATCACAGGAACGTTCAAATAAGCCTGTTAATTTTGTTTGTGCCTCAGACTGAATTCCAGGTTCACATAGCCCGATTTCCCGAGTAGAAGATCATTTTCTACTGATTTGAAATGCTTTTCAATGCGTTTAAACGTTGTCACTAGTTTCGAGCAATTTCAGCAAACTCCATTCTACGGCATATGTTCCTGATGATTTATAGCATTAAAACGCATGATTTTGTGAGGGAATAATGACAAAAAATTTCGATTTAGGAGAGAAATATTAATATCCGACCTTTTCAGCTAGCTCTGCAGCCGTGAGTGTCCCAGCGGGCTGTTTAACTTCGAGTTTCCTGATGAGACGAGGAAGGGTGCCGACTCTCCTTACGACGTCGATAGTTTCCTTGGCAGGATGGCTCCTCATCTACTTTTCGGCAAATTACGAGCAGATCGTCATTGGGCGTATTTTATCTGGAGTGGCGATAGGATTGGCTTCAACCCCAACAACTGTTTACGCAGCAGAGATAGCGTCCCCCAAATTAAGAAGCACAATGGTGACCTGGACGAGTGTGGCAATCGCAATTGGCATCCTTGTCGTGTACACTGTAGGCTTCATCTTCGAAGTAAGTCTAAAATGTCATTTCATACATAAAACAAAGGACTTCATTACGCCCGTAATCACGAAAGTAGTATAAGTCAACAATCTGACAGAAACGAATTTATGTTACACTATGTGTCGGGTCCATTTAAATGAAAAACGTGTGAAGTTTCAAAGCAAAAGAATTACTTAGGCCCTTTTTACAACTGTCGGTGCAATTATTGCTTGAAGAAAATAACCTTAAGTATCTTTGGATCCATACTTAACGACCTTTTCAGGATAACTGGAGGATGGTAGCTCTGATATGCGGAATCTTCCCTTTTCTTGCCATCGTTTTGCTTCTCGCGCTGGTCCCAGAATCTCCAATATGGCTGCGGGATAGAGGACGCCTCGACGAGGCCATCGAGGTGATGAAGAAGTTCCGAGGAACCCCCAAGGGCAAACCAGCAACTGCAGAAATCCTCGAAGAGCTTGACGTTATGCGGAGGAACAAGGAGCTGAAGTGGAAGCACATCTTCAGGAGGAGCTCCCTGATGCCGTTTTTCGTGATGCTGAGCTACTTCTTCTTCCAGCAGTTTTCTGGCATCTTCGTGGTGGTGTACTACGCGGTGGACATTGCGAAAGAGGCTGGAGTGGTTGCAGATGGATATTTGGTGGCGGTGCTAATCGGTATCACGAGGCTTTTAGCAGTCTTATTGGTCTGTTTCGCCTCTAGGAAGTTCGGTAGAAGAAAACCCTCCATCTTGTCTGGTGCTGGGATGACGATTTTCATGGGGCTCTTGTCGATTTATGTGCTACTTCTGGATAAAGGTTACAATATCAACGATGGCGGATTTCTACCCATCTTTTGTCTCCTGGGGTACATCTTCGCCAGTACTTTGGGATTCCTTGTGATCCCCTTCGCGATGGTCGGAGAGATTTTCCCATCCAACGTTAAAGACATCCTTTCGGGGGTCACGACTGCCTTGGCTTATGTCTTCAGCTTCTTCACCGTCTTCATCTATCCATATAGTTTGGAGACCATGGGGAAACATGGGGTTTTCTTCTTCTACGCCGCCATGTCTCTTTTGGGCACGGTCTTCGTCTTCACGCTTCTTCCTGAAACCAGAGGAAAGACGCTTTCAGAGATTGAAGAACTCTTCGTGAAGAGAAACAAAGATGCCGAGGAACCGGAGAAGAAGGTCTTCACCTTGAGGAGTGTCACGGCTGAGTCTTAGAAGTCTCGAAGTGGAGTCGTCACAGATCTCTTCAGCGAACATGACGACGGAATGCGACTTGACTTCCTTCGAGGTTATTTGTACTGAAACCGAAGAAGTTTTTATTTATTTTTCTGAAGCCAGGAATTTCAAGAAGTAGATGAGGACCTCATCCCAAAAATGTGTTTCCTGAAGAAGGGAAGACCGATATCCCATTTATCGGGAGGGAAATACGTTTTTCAACTAAGAATGAGCGTTAATCAAGAAAAACGTGCGCACAAGATCGAAGCGAATCCAAATGGAGATACTGCCTCGATATCTTGACGACGTATCAAGAATTTAGGCGACAAATTACCGACACTATAGTTATTTTAAAGCCTGCAAATCTATCGGCAAATCGATAGAGCTGTTAACAAATTAGCCGTAAGTTAGTATTTAAGTAGACTGCCAAACTGTCAACTAAGAGTGTCCCGAACAATGTAGCCAGATATTAGAATATCGAGTTCTACAACAACGAGCTAGTTAACTTTTCTACTAATCGAACTTACGTCAATTATTGCAAACAATTGACACTGGTAAAGGTTAAAATACGTAGCGGACAAGATTACACCCCAATAGCGAATAATCGTGTTTGATACATTTTATTAATAAAATCTTAAATAATAAATTAACAAATGGAGTAACAATCACGGTAATTAAATAACAAACACACAATGTACAGTACAACTCGAGGAGGAAGAAACGTCAAGGTAGACTCACTTAAATGAAAAAAGAACTAACAATAAAGTTTAAGAATAATTAATAGGATTAATAAACTAAAGCGTAACCGCGGTTTGTCTCTGATAAAGAAAGACAACAGTCTTCGAAGGTGTTTCTTCCTCTCACGCGTACACATGCATACAACACCTCGGGGCAAAGACGTTCCTTCTCGGGAGGAAGAAGCGAAAGGAACGTCTTCGCTCGCCTGAAAGAAGATATAACTTTAGCCTCTAGGTACAATCGTCTTATCGCTTCACGCCGCCACTAAACGTGACAAGAGAAATGGCGAGACAGGCGTTCTCCAGTAATCCGCAAAGGCCCGGCGTCCTTTCGCGACAAAGAAGTCTGAAGTCTCGGCGCATCCGCGAGAAGAAGAAAACCAGGAATCCCGAAGAAAGGCGGAAAATGTCCCGCTTAGACGGACTCGAATCCTGAATTTCTTCTTCTCGCTTGGCGAGTCTCTTTTCGGAGCGTAAAGCCTCCGCGTAAAGGAGGTCCAGTTGTGTCCGAAATTGACTAACCTTAAAAACCTAGTAATGTCAGTAAAGCTTTCTTCGTTCGAAAGGTGCGATCCTCGGAACCGGAAGTCGGATATAACATTAACATAAGTTAGGACTACGGGCCGGCTTCTTCTTCCAGAAGCTTCGCTCGCGGCGGGTCCGCCATTTTGGTTCCCTTCCGCGGCGTCAAGTTTGACCGTTCGAGTGTACCTCAAATTTCTCTATTTCAAGTCTATAAGCAATCTACACTAATTTGCATCTATAAGAAGAGGGCCCCGAACTTCCTACGAAGCTTCGGTCGAAGAAAATGGCCGTCGAGGACGCCATCGACATATCAAACAATATCCTCAGGGTCGCGACGTAATATCTAAACCGTGAAGAAGTGAGGACGTCCCCGAGACGTCTTCAAGATGTACCGTCGATGTCACTTGTCAAGTTTCGAGAATATGTCTCCCTATGTTATAAATAATTTAACGAGTCCGCTTTCGGACATCGGTATAAGTTTCACCAACTCCCCAGAGACATCTACGAGATGTCTGCAGAACTAGAAAGTAGACATCGATCGACCGGTACTTCAGATATCCGTTCGGTGTTAATAACACACCGTTGAAATATCCTACGACGTCAAAATGACCGTTAACAAAATTCTCACGTACCCCACCCATAGAATTTGCTATCCGGGCAATGCAACAAAGAAGAAACAAGGGAACCCCTAGAAGAAGAGCGGTCTTCGACTAGTCACAGCCGTCCCTTGTGAAGTAGCTCGAAGCTAACTGACTTCTTGTGCAAGAACTGTCCCCGTTGGCTAAATTTCATCGACTCTTCAAATGAATCGCCTTACCGCCTCTCGAAGCGGAAGTTGAAGGTATCTTTAGGAAGCGCGAGGTTACCGATAGGAACCTTATAGCTCTCCTGCTCGATGGGGCAGATGGTGAAGTTCTTCAGGATGGTCGCCAGCATGGAGAAACTAATATTCTGGACCATTTTGTAGCCCATGCAGGACCGACGACCGCCGCCGAATGGAAGGAAATGTTCCGGCTTGGTCAGGCGGTCTTCTTGGACGAAGCGTTCGGGCTTGAACTCTTTCGGGGCATCCCATAGCTTCTCCGACATGTTCAGATCATAGTTGTTCAGGAAGATGAACGTATTCTTCTTGACGCGGTAGCCTGCAAGATAGAAAGTAACTATTAGTTCAGCATTTTCCCCGGTAGAGCGGTAATTCTACAGAAGTGTACACGGTTCGGCGAGGCTCTGAGCGGTGGCACCACTTACCAGCAATAGAGCTGTCCCGGCTGGCAACGTGGGGGACGATGGGGCTGGCGATGAGCCTGATGGCCTCGAGGATGATGGCTTCGGTGTAAGGCATGTGTCCCCTGTTCTCCAGTCCGACAATGTCAGTCGCTGTCGAGACCGAGTCGATCTCTAGCTGGGCTTTTTTCTGGACAGCCGGCTCCGAGACCAGGAATCCCAGAACCTTGACCATGAGGTTCCCAACCGCGGAATGGCCGCCGATGATGTCTTCCAGGGCGAAGAGGGCAGCATCCCAGGATAATCTAGGCTTGCGGTCCATCTTCACGTAGTTCACCAGGCAGTCCACGTAATCCGTCTCGAGGACGGATTTGCTCCAGCCGGAGTATCTCTCCTCGATGATGTTCTCGTTAACGAATTCCCTGATCTTGTGGCTCCAGTGCGCCATCTTCGCCATGTTGCGTCGATGAAGGGGCATCAGGAAGGGCAGGAAATCCGCGGCGTAGCCTTGGTTCACCTCGAAGAACACCAGGTCGAAGTTCTCCACCATCCTCCGGAAAGCCGCGTGCTCGTAACCGAAGCTCCTCGAGCAGAAGTATCTGGTGAAGATGTTGGCGCAGCTGTGGAGGATCAGTGACTTCGTCTGGAACTGCTTGTCGTAGGTGTGGTCCAGACGGCTCATCAGGAGGACCATTTGCTGGGAGATGATGCTGTTCAAGTGTCTGTAGCGATGGGTGAAGGTTCGCGGGAAGGCGTGGACCCATAGCATCTCCCTGCGGGATTTCTGCACCTCCGACCAGTCGCAGAATGCCAGAGCTGAAAATAAAGAGGAAATATGACGCTATCCGCTCTACACCAGAAAATTCACCCTTAAACGCGATAAGATGATGAAATTTATTATTATTATTCTACCCAACGATCCAGCGGTGTCGCAAATACAAGAGAAAAGTGTAACCAGCGTTGAAGACGCCTCATTAGGTACCAAACGAGTGGGCGCTAAGGTTCTCCAAAATGGCGGCGGACCTGTCCGACTTCCTACATTTACTACTTTTGCATGGATGGTACCGTGATAGCAAAATTCAATGTTATAACTTCTTGGTGCAAGCCACATTTCTGCGCCCTATATGCAGTCTTCACCGGCCTGGCATCAGGGAAGGAACAGCGAAGAAACGAAACAGAGCAGAAAATCCCACGAGGAGGGGACGGCGTGTCTCGCTCGAGTGCTCCAGGAGTTCTGTGGTATTCCACGAGTACTCCGTATTCGACCTTGACCTCAGTCCTCTACCCAAGAACACGCGACAAGACGCGGGAAGAGTACTTTTCTCACCGACGCGAAGTCACGCCATAACCTCTACCCGGTCCCGTTTCCCGCCGATTCGAGCCTGAAATATACCAACAGGCACGGACGAAGAGACGAAGCGAGGCAGGAAACTCGTGGCGAGGCGGGAAAGGGGCCTGGAAAGGGGACCAGCGCGTCTCGGTCGAGTGGGCTCGCGAGATGATGCCTAAGATTCCCTTGACCTTGAGCCGATGGAGACCATCTTGGTCCCAGCATTCTAGGTAGATATATTCCTCTAAGCGAGGGAAAACTAAATCTGATGTTAAATACTCGGTGAAAGGATCTGGGACTACTCTTCCAGGTCCTTTTCGATTTATCTTTACAAGAGAAACTCCTACGGGAATTACGAGGAGCCGAAGAAATGGCTCCATCCCAAAGGACGCCATCTTGGTCTCGGAATTCTGGGCAAGTATGTCCCTCTAAACGAGGGAAAACTAAATCTGATGGCAAATACTCGTTAAAAGGATCTAGGACTACTCTTCCAGGTGACTTTCCTTTTCTTAGAGGATGGAAAACTTCTGAAAGAGCCAGCAGCCGAAGAAGTGGCTCAGGCCCAGATAGTGCCTTGCAATCTCAGATCCTTCCAACTTCTTCCAGGTGCTCTGGATTACTCCGAAATACTCGCAGATAGCCCCTGATACACCCTGAAGTCCCCTTGACCTTGCGCTGCGAGACGACCTTGGCTCCGGATCGCGCACCTCGCAGGTGCCGAAGAATGCGTCGACGCATTCCTTTTTCCCTGGCTCCCTCCCACGGGAGACACGCGACCGAATAGCGAGCGCGCGTAGGCCGCGGCCCTGCACGCACGCGGAAATGCAAGGTCGGCCAGAAAAAAAGAAACACCAAGTAGCGGCGTTTGCAGAAAGACGACTCATCGGCGAGTGCAAGGTGCGCGGCTTGCCCGAGGAGAGTCGGCCCCGCTTCTACACGCATCAACAAGCGGGAAGACACGTCCAAGATGGCGGCCCTACACGAAAATTAACTCCTATTAGCGTGTGTAGCGACGCGCTCGCTCGCGTGTGCGCTCGCCCACTCACGTGGCGCCACGAAAGCAAGGTCGTTACCACGCGAGCCAACCTCCGGCATTTCTTCACTTTCTGGGTCTGGGATGTTTATATTTAGAAGCGGCCCTCGAATCGGACCGCCGATAATCATTATCGGGCCTTTTTCTTACTTTCTTGTTACCTCACGGAACAAGAAGACGACGACGAGGACCGCCGGCATCGGGGCTTCCCTCCTCCACCGCGACCTCTTTCGCCTCTTCTTGTATGGGCCGCACCGAGATGTTTATATTTCGAATCGACCGATTTAACTAATTTTACTGACGGATAAAGAGATTAAGCACGAAAGGATAGAGAACGAGTACATTAACGGAGGCTTTAATTACTTCCCGGGGTTTAGAAATCTAATTTTAAGAGCGCAACGCTACTAGTGGTGGCCGTAGGTTATGGCCGCCATGTTTTTCCTTTTCCCCCTTTTTTTTTTCGGTATGTCGAGACGCGGGATTTCTTCTGCAGGAAAAGCGAAAGTCTGTGGCTAATCACGTGATGCTACTTCAATTTCTTCACTTTCTAGGCACGACCTGTTTGCGCGGGGAAGAATTACTATTACGGACTCGTGAAAATGATTACAGTACTCGGTTTGCAGTATTGTGCAATCCCGGGAAAGGGTGGCAGGAGAAAAGTGACTCGTAGAGGTTATTTCCACTCTTCCTCGACACTTTCTCCCAGTTTTTTGTCGTCAGAAAAAGGAATGAGAATGCCTGAGGATGCCAACGGTATAGAATTTAAGTCATCATACATTCTTCAGGGATTGCATATTTTTAGAAAATGTTACGTCTTGCATCAGGATATTAGCGCGTCTTGGACCCGATCGGACGCCATTTTGGTACCGCATTGGAGAGCATGTCTGGATATAAAAGCCAATGGATCATGCATAAATGTAGTTTCCGGGTCCGACGTGTTTACTGCGTCGTGGTAAACAAAGTAGCAGGACGTCGCGAACTTGAGAAAATGTTAATACCCGTTTTTAGAGTGGAGCTAGGTCAGGAAAAATTCTACGCAGAAGGATAAGGATATCTTCAAGGAAGATCTATCGGAAAAATTGTCCCATCAGCGCGACGCGCTTCGGCGAAACTGTCGCGTCTTTTCCCTGAACATTTACAACCAAGCATTAATGCCGATAGTCCGATGTTTGACCGAGATACGACAATGTTGCTGTTAATTTGCTGCATATGCGACCGTAAAAGCGAGCGGCGGCCAAACAAGGTCCTGCGCACTTTCCGAACTTCCGGGTGTGTTATAATGATTACGCGTTACGCTACCACGTGTGACCCGATCCCAGTAACAGCGTGCAAAATGGCTGACAATCATCCCGGAGGTTTAAGAGACCCAAATGACTATGAAAGATAAATCGACAATTCAGTTTCGACACCCTGGGAGAAGTTGGACAGGATTGGCGCCCCATTAGGACGTGTGGTGATCATCGCTTCGCGGAACGGGTCTGATTGATGTGTCGTAATGACTCGTTAACGACGCGTGAGGTGGAATGAAGTAGAATTAATTGAAATGAAGTAACTGGAGATGCGAAAAGTAAAGAATGGGGTCTTACAGTTCTCCTTGTTGCCGCAGAAGAGCTGGTGGTATCTCGAGAAGTTGGGCCTGGAGTCGAAGTGGTGGCCCTTGGTGATGAGGACCTCCTTGATGTTCTCCAGACCGTTGACGACGATGCAGGGGACGGAGCCCATCTTCAGTTTGACGACCTGGCTGTCGTAGACCCGGGCCAGGTCGGCAAACGCCTTGTACGGAACGTCGTACTGGCCCAGTATGTGAAGAGACCCCAAAATGGGCCAAGGCTTCGGGCCAGGAGGTTCCGGAAGCAGCGAGACGCCATCGTCGCACTCCTTCTTGGATCTCTTTTTCACCCGGAGGTAATCTACGAGGATGAGGAAGAGGCACACCAGAGTGCCGGCGATGAGGAAGTACGAGGTAGCGCTCACAATGATGAAAGCCATCTTCCTTTCGGATCTACAGGATCTACTGGATCTACTGGAAAGTCCTCGCTTCTATGTCCTGGACCCTGGAGAAGTTCTCCCCACCTATCATGGACGCCCAGCACCCCGAGCTGGATCTTTCCTTCTGAGTTATTCTACTTCCAGGACCTTTTCCTTAGATCCAAGTTCGAATCTTCCTGCAGACCCCAAACGGTTCCGCAGCTCAACAGCGGCCTCTTCGGTAGGTTCTTCAGGGATGACTGGGATACCTGGAGGCCGTTCAAGGGAGACTTCGATGCTCGTCGACGATCACGTCCCCGAGGTCCTTCGGCTCTCCAAAGAGTCGAGACCCGTCAGCAACCAGACTCTCGGGCAGGAACCTTTGCCCTAGTGCCCTAGACCCAGAGGATGACGACTGCCTCTCGTTCCAGGAAGTCGCTGCCGGGTCCCCAGCTGGCGAGGTGGACTTTGTTCCCGTTGCAGAAGTCGGGGGTCCTCCACGTGGCGACGCTCGATTCTAGGATCCTCAGATCGTCGATGGGTCTTGGTGGATCCTGGGGCGTCCTGGGGCGTTCTTCTTGTCGATGATCACCGGTTCTTCTCGGCGATCTCTGGTCAAACTTCCGTCTACGTTCGGTCCCTGTGAAGTCGTCCAGACGAAGTCTTCGCGCAGTCGGGGCGATTCCTCGGAACTCGGCTAAGGGCCGGCCAACCGAAGTTCTAGGTCAGGTTAGGTGCGTTAGGTGTGCGTAGTGCGTACCGGCGCGTACCACGTATTGTCTGTCGGTCTGTCTGCGAACCGTTTACCGATCTGACTCGGTCTGGGGATAGGATGGTGGCCGGCTATCTTATATAGCGAGGTAATGTAGTCAGCACATTTACGTCGCTGCTCACCCCATACATATGGATTCAGGCAGGGCGTCCGACTGTACCCCAGGAGACGAATTTCAAGAAACATACCGCAGGGAGGGGTAACGCTGTCCGCGGGGAAGGGGGAAAAACTGACAGGGGGTACGGGGCCCAGAGAGGGAGGCGCGAAGGGACGCTTCTTGCCCTTGACGGCTGTTTAAGGTAAATCCAACGTTCAGGTGCAGGTGCTTAACGCTAAACAGGGCCCCATTTTTGGGCCACCCGGGGCTCGTCGTCCTACCCCCGTTTTCGCCCACGGCGATGATTTCGAGCGACGCTTTCCTACGATTTTAACATTTTACCCATCCCAATCAGGTCTTTCCCTTGCGTTCCTCCCTAATTACCTGTACACTGCTATTGTAGTTCCTGGTGTTAAATTAAAATTGTGAAAGTTGGAGAGGGGGCGGGGGTAGAGAGGGCTTTCGTAGCAGGAAGGGGGCCGGTGAATATGGGTATGAATTTTGGGAGGGGAAGAGGTGCGTTTCTTGAATTTCGAAATTTTCGCAAGAAGGTGTGCTGTATTCAAGGTAAATCTTAATCTCATTTCAGGATTCGGGAAATGTAGTCAGATTTTCCAGACGGAGGGAATTTATCGGCAGTTTTCGAAAGGTGGTGGAAGATCGATGCTGCGTTACTTGGCGAAGGTGGATCATTCCTACGTTTTTCTTTTTGCTGGAACATATATTTGAATGAATTTCCGGAGATGGAAAAGTCGCGGTTACATCCGCTGGAAAGAGGGGAAGGACGAGGAGAAAGGGGCACTGGGTGGGATGCCTTTTGCGGCCGTTCGAGATGAACCTGACTTTCAGTTGCAGGTGCAGGATCTGCTGGGGGGCCGCTAAGACGTTCTCGACCAAGAATTACGATTACGAAAATGCAATTTTCTCGATTTTCATAATCCTGAAAACTTCTCAGTACAACATTATGCAATCAAATGTCGTTATAATTGTAGTTCGCGGGTAATTTCAATAAATTTTCCACGATCTATGTATATAAATCGTTGTTATTTTTTTATTTCCTCGATTGTCGTTTTTGTATATAATAAAGGGCACTGGGTGGGATGCCTTTTGCAGCCTTTCGAGATGAACCTGACTTTCAGTTGCAGGTGCAGGATATGTTGGGGGCCGCTAAGACGTTCTCGAACAAGAATTACGATTACGAAAATGCAATTTTCTCGATTTTCATAATCCTGAAAACTTCTCTGTACAACATTATGCTATCAAATGTCGTTATAATTATGGTTCGCGGGTAATTTCAATAAATTTTCCATGATTTATGTACATAAATCGTTGTTATTTATTTATTTCCTCGATTGTTCTTTTTGTATATAATAAAGGGTACGGGGTGGGATGTCTTTTGCGGCCGTTCGAAATACACCTGACTTTCAGCTGCAGGAACAGCAGGATCTTTCAGCTTCAGGTGCAGGATCTGCTGGGGGGCGGCCAGGGCATTCTTGAACAGGAATCAAGAAACTCGGTAAAGTTTGAAACCAAATATATTTTTGAATTACGGCTACGAAAATGCAATTTTCTCGTTTTTAATAATCCTGAAAGCTTTGCTATACAACTTAATGCGATCAAATGTCCTTATAATTACCACTCGCGGGTAATTTCAATAAATCGTTGTAATTTATTTCTTTCCTCGATTGTCCTTTTTCTATATAATAAAGGGCACTGGGCGGGATGCCTTTTGTGGCTTTTCGAGATGAACCTGACTTTCAGTTGCAGGTGCAGGATCTACTGGGGGGCCGCTAAGACATTCTGGAACAAGAATTACCATTACGAAAATGCACTTTCCTCCATTTTAACAATCCTAAAAACATCTCTATAAAAGTTTATGCGGTTAAATGTCCTTATAATTACTGCCCGCGGGTAATTTCAATAAATTGTCCGCGATTTATGTACATAAATCGTTGTAATTTATTTATTTCCTCGATTGCCCTTTTTCTATATAATAAGGGAGGGTGCCCCAGAGAGTGAGCATCAGTGTCGGCTCCAATTAGGGGAATCAGTCGGAACTTTTATCCTTTCAACTTCTTGCCTTTGCAGCCTTTTTAAGGCCATTTCCACTTTCTGCCGCAGGTGCGCGTACAGTCGGGGAAGAGCAAATTAAGAGTACTCGTCAGTTTCGGGCTTGACGGAGGACGCCGTCTCGGATAGCTTCTGCCAGATTGAGTATAAACTGTTAGAACTCTATAGCATCGTTTATATATTGAATAATATTACTAAGGACATATTAAAATATGTACGTAAACACCGGGTGGGTAGATTTTGTTGTCCCACCGATTTGCAGCCACGGATTTACGTCAAACTTACGTCAGGTAAACGTGTTAGGCCGACGTCATCTGGTAAAATCTGCACCACCTCAGAAGTATGTCAGGCACATTCACCTGAGGTAAACATGACGCAAATCTTGGGAAAGTGTAGAGCAGTCAAGGCCGTTTGGTAAAATTTGCCCGAATCTGCAGAACTGTTTGTGCACTTTGCAAATTAGGGTGCAACGCTCGCAGATGAACCGAATCGAAATTGTCGCTATTGATACAAAATGGAAATTTGGTTTCGCTTGAGTTACTTCTTTTATATATATATACATTATTTTATATATATATATATAATTTTTTTTGTATAGGTACAACAGTTTTCATCCACAAGGGGAGCAACAATTTAATAACGATGATGTATACCCTGCTCGCCGAAAGGATCGCAACGCTTAAAAATCGTTCTAATGCAAGACTATCGTGTTCTTTAGAATAACGTAAAGAGACCGTGATTCAATTTTGGCTTTAAAAATACTTCTGATTATCTAGATCTCTTCATCATCTCCTTCGATTAGAGACCGATATACACGGTTATCGGACGAGCACACGTTTGATTTATGGGCATCGCAATTCTTCGGGCTGAGCCGTGAATGACGAACTCGCCTCAGATCAGAAAAAGACGAAAGGAAATGTCCTTTCGTTCTTCTAAACCGTATATCCGGTAACCAGAAATACATAACTTTGATTTGCAGATTATCCAGTTCTTTTCTAGCCGCCGGTGTATGACGCCGATCTCGTATCGGAAAAATCAGAAGAAAATCTTCCTTCATTACCCTACACAAAATATGGGGCCATCAGACATGCGCAACTTTAATTTTTCGGTATTACAGCTCTCCGGCAAGCAGAGTATGACGAAGATTTCGTATCGGGTGACTGTATAAGGTGCGGAGAAATTTCCTCTCATTCGAACGATATATATAAGTTAGGGTTTTATATATATATATATAAAATCCTAACTTGGATTTTCAAGCGTACCACTTTTCCCTTCTTTTTTAACAAGCAGGGATTCCGTATCAGAAGAAGGATCGGTCGAGATGTTCCCTTCAGATTTCCACCTCGTGGAGGCATCACCCAATCTGGCCGGTGTCGGAATAGCACGACCGACGATGCCGCCATTTGCATTTCAATGTCACTGGAAACCTCGGCGGGAAATTCATCGGCTGGTCGGCGGGATTCTTTTCTCTCCCCCCCAGGCTCGGCGGGGACCGTTATCGGTCGAGAATCGAGATCGATTCCGAGACGTTCCGGCGGAATGTGAATGGGTTACGCAACCTCCACTTTCGTAGGTGGCGGCGCGAGCGCGAGAAGAAACGGATTGACGCCGGACCAGGATGAGCCGGGGGAGAAAAAGAGGTCAGGCTCGATCCGGATCGACGCGATCGGCTCTCGATACCAGGACCGGCGATCCTGGAGGCGGGACGCCAGAAGAAGAGAACGCGAGCCGAAGAAAGTGAAGCGGTACCAAACGGTACCGCCGCCAGGACTCGCCGACTCCCAGCGCGAGCAAAAACCTCCCCACCAAGTGGAACAGATACGGTTATCGCGGGATTCGGCTTCTTTTGCGCCCGGGCCCCTCGCCGCTCGTTTTGCGTTCGCGAATTCGTGCGGCTCTTCCGATGAAAATCGCTCAGGGTCAAGACCGCCGGAGAAAAAGACGCCTCTGGCGGTGGTGGACGCGCCGGCCGCGCGATGCCGGACTTCTTTGCCCTCCGCGCACCTCGGATCTGGGATTTCGGATGGAGAACGTTTCTTCGCGCGGGGAACGCTCAAGGTCAAGGACCGAGGTGAAACAGCG